GTATCCAGAAACCGGTCACATAATATTTTTTTGTTTTTTTTCTTTTTTTTTGTGTGTACATGGAAAATTCATAATCGCCAAACTAAAAATATCTGCATATAATCCACCATTATATTATATTACGAGTATCGTATCGGGAAAATAATAGGCAAAATCCATAAATTGACCCAAACCCGGATTGTACTACCTGCGTTGGCATATTTTATAGAAATCCTTTTGATTTTCCTGGAAAAATTACAATGCCTACAGTTTCTTTAATAGATGGTTTCCTTCAATTTCAGAACATAATTGAAATTTCCTTTATAAACCATTAAATTTTTCCGGACGTGATTGGACTTTTTTTTACCAGTTTGTTGACTTTTTAATAACCCGCAGATATTTTTTGAATGTTTTTCCCTTATACGTTTCCTGTCAGATATTTAGTATGCCAAATGATTTTCTATGTAAAACTATTTTCAATCGTCATGAATACAAACGCTTTGAGTCGAGTCAAGTACACATGTACAAATGCTAATTTGTCTTCGATGAAGAATAGCTGTTATTTAATCTCTCAAATTTCTTGCAATTTGATAGTAAACGCATCATGTTTTCCAAGCTTAAAGTAAACTTGAATACCAAATAACGGTGAAGATAACCAGATATTAGGTTTTTCTTTGAAAATTTTTAATTATGAACATTTATAAAATGACTATGTGGATATTGTTTGGCTAATGATTTCAAACTATATTACTAGAGAGACTGGTTCTGTTAATATATATTTATTCCAACACTGGTCAATTCATCTTAACCACATTAAATGCTTTACCCATAAAAGCCTGCGTTCTGAGAATCTCATAAACAAAACGTTACTGGAATTGAACTTGTGTCACATTCCGCCATCCAAATAAAAAAAATGCATCTGTTCGGCATGTCATAAGACTAGATTTCCATCCTCGCTTAGTAAATTGCGACATTCAAAGAAGAAAATTAGATCATCCGCGCAAAATGAATGGGTCATCTAATGAAGTCAGAAACGGAAATGTTTTAAAAATGGTATGACCTCGCGATGAGGATTGTCCTGTCAATTTCGATGAAAGAAATGGCGCGGGATTCCTGACGCTTAGTTCATAATCGCGATGTCGAAATTGTTTTCATTCGAGATCGTTTCGGTGCTATATTGTCTCGTTAAAAGTGGTTTTAATTGGTAATCGAAACAATTAAAATGGACGCTTTGTTGACGCAAGAGGTGTTTACGTGCGATAGCGAATGCGTTGCGGTCGAAAGAAAAATTCATTTTTAGCGAATTGATGGTTGTTCGTTGCATACCCGATCCCCATTAATTGATAGGGACAGTGACGGCTAGAAGGCCGAAAGGGATAATAAAAAATGCAATTTTGACCAAATTTTGAGAGGTTTAGTAAAATTCTTTTTTTTTGTTTAAACCGTTTTGCCCGATCTGCTATAGCGGTCGGGGAATTTAAGTTTTTATTTATTAATAACCTCAGCTGCTTAGTTTGGTATGTATTAATAAATCCGGTTGGGTTGTCAGAAGCAAACGAACTACATCTCGTCTAAAAGGGCATTTCTTGCTCCATATATTATACAAAAAAAAAAGTAGTTAACACTTGACTCTCTCTCTACTCGAAAGCTTTTGATGCTCTCATTTCACAAAATTTCTGTTGTCGGTTCTCATTATTATTTTTAGTTTATTTTACCTATCTTTGCCTTTGCAACCCTAAACTATGACTTGAACATAGTTTACTAGATGTCCACTAAGCATTGTTTGCAATAAAATGCTGCGAAAACTTATAACAAAAAAAATTAAGTGATTCAGTGAGAAACCTAAAAATGACAATAGACAAATATTTGAGATTTTTAAGTAGAGACCTCTAGTTTTATCTCAGTCAAGTTACGGGGATGCAGGTTAAACTATTTTGATAAACGCCACATTCAAAATCTTAAAATTTTGTGTCTGAGGTTGATTTATGGATTGCAAAGTTAGACAGAATTAGTTTCATAGTTCAAAGAGTTAATTGGCATGGCAATAGAATATTTCTTCATTCTACAGTTCTCTATGTAGCAGTTGTAGTAGTAATAGTTGAAAATCTTATCCATGGCTCTTCATTATTATAAGCCATCATTGTGACGTACATAATCTAAATACACTATTTAAGGGAACGCCGCCAATGCTGAAAACTGAAATTTGTATACTCTCTTAACTGAAAAAAAATGAAAACCAAAGCACCCTCAAACGTTTTAAAACTAAACTTTCTCAAAAACTACTTGATGAAGAAATTAAAGAAATTTCTACGTAACTGTGTGTTAAATGATTTTAAATCTTATTATTACCTTTTCTTTGATTCTCGCGGGAACACTATACCACTTTTTTTTATATAAGTTTCGACTAATAAAATGGAATTTTATTTACTTCTTTTTTTTCTCTCCCTTTCGTCGAGTTAGATAGAACAGTATACTAATCTTTAGTATTGTTTATAATTCAAAAAAACAGCACCTGGATATCTTTCTTCCAACTAAGGATATTGGAAAAAATATTAATAAATGCAAAAAAATATCCTCTCAACTATCCTATTTTTAATACTGGCTATCAGTAGCGCTCTTGATTGTGGACATTCTAAGAGAATACGAAAAAGTCATGATCTATGAGTTTTCAAGCTTTCATTCCCATTTTTTGTTTTTTTTTTTGAAAAAACGCGCTAAGTTGTGAAACAGCCTCTACTAACATACTATTTGGACTTATAACATAGAATATGCCTATTATGCCTTACCCAAATGTTGGGAGTTAGCAAAATATCCCTCTGCACAAATAGAATATAGAATTATCAAAAGAGGCTCAGGTTGTTTATTACCATTTATAGGAAAATATATCTAACCTTCCAACACCACATTGTTTTGGTAGACGAATGGAATAAAAAAATAGGCTAAGGATTATATATGCCGTTATGTTTAATAACACTTTATTTAGGGAGATGTTTAATTTCATGGCTATGCCAACTTTTTCTCCTCTACAAAATTTATTTCATTAGTACGCCACCATTACCAATACATTTTTTTAAGTACCTAGGAACCTGTTTTATATAAATATTTACATAAAAATGCAAAGAAATATCGTTAGAAGTTGACAATCCTATTTTTTTTTTCTTAAATCAAACAATTCCTACATATTTAACATACCTAGTAAATTGCGACAATTTTTATAAATCACCCAGTATTTCTGTATCTAGCATAAATTTTGGAAAAGCGAAGAGTAATTTATAGCAAGCTTTAAAACCTTTTTTGAATCGTTGTTGATATGCCGATACTGCCCCTTTGAATTAGTTGATAATCGGGCCCTGAATCATTTTACAACAAATGGCATCGTACTTTCTAGACATTGTTTCAATAATTTTTCGGAGAATTAACAATTTAAATCTTAAATTAGGTAAACGATGCAACCCACACGTTTGCCGTAGACAATGGACGCTTGAGACGTGGTACCCGCTTTTAGTGCTTAATAAAATATGCTAAATTTTAGTACCGTGTCACTGTTTTTGGTAAAGATCAACTGTAAATGTTATAATTAATGTCCTCTACAAACCCAGAAATATATATGTACCTAAAAGTTGATACTAAAATATTTATGGAGTAAATTATTAGTAGTCTGTCATTGCTGCTGCTTAGCATTATCAATTAAATAATAAAAGTTAGTAATCAAGCATCTGAATCGGGAAAGCATCAACTTTTCATGCTAGTGAATAATATTCGCTGTTTCTACTGTTACATCATCAAACTGCAGAAGAGGATTATTTGAGCGATTTTAGGGAAAAAAGTCATTGGATATTATAAGGAACATGTTCGGTTTTGTAATATCCCCAAAATAGTAATATTTTTTAAAAAATTGACTTCGCCACATATTTGATAAGTTGGGCCATGGGTAATGGAAAATACCATATTTTCCATATGGCCATAAAGTTCGTAAAGTAATTTTTTTGAAATGAGGCATTTAAAAACACAAGACCAAACTCCTCCCTCATATCAAATTTTGATCAAAAATAATAAATAAATCACTTTACCAAAGTTTTAAACATTTGCCACTACCTGTCAAAATTGATATTTTCATAAAAATTTTGTAGGGTTGGTTGTTTTTAAAAATACAAAGTTTTAATAAAAAAGTGGTGTCTTTGTCAGTTTTTTGCAAATATGCCAATTTTCAGTAAAAAAAAACAAACTTGATTATATCGCGTTTTTCTGCAACTAACTTTTTTATATCCTAAGCTTTTGCTTTTTTGCATTTCTTCAATTTTTTGAAATTATAAGAAAAACCCTGTACTGGTACTTGCTTCATCTCTTGTTTATTTTCTAATCCTCTTTTATACGTGAAAATATTCTTTCTTCATTTCTCAAAAGTGCCTTTGTATTTTTAAGAGGAACCAAGGAATTATCACATCCAAAAAGTTATTACCTTACCGAAGAAAATAACAGTATTTATTAATAATTTCTTAATACTAATAATTTGTGACTGGTGGGCACTATTCATTAATATTCAATTTTTATCAAATTCACAGTGGAAAAATTCGGATGTTATTATATTTTTAAATAATGATTGGTGTTTCAGAAAAATTCATATTAGGTCCTTTCAGAGAAGTTTGACATTTTTCTGCTTTGGCAGGACCTATATCAATCATTTTCAGGAAGAATTCATGACTTGAACAATTTTTGTCCTTGAGAACACGTTGAAATACGTCCAGGAGGGATAAACAAAATAATATATCCAAGATGTATCTTCACGGGTTCTTCTGTACCTGAATATCGCCATCTTTGCAGATTTTGCTAAAAGAATCCCACCCGTCAAATATTGCCTATTGTGTCGCTTAACCATAGGAAACATCCGTTTTTTGACACGAAGACAATGGTTTTTGCTGTGGACTTCTGCGCGTAACCAATATCCAGAAAGCAATATTCTTATTGCTACACTTTGATTCGAGAATTGTGGTCGAGGTGGGAGACCGCAGAAGAGCCGAGTAGGGCGAGAATTTTTCTTTTTGCTTCGGTGACGGTTGATCGCAAGGTTTTTGGGATGAAAGTGAGGCTTTCTGAAGATGCGCACCCACTATTTGATGATTTCGGATTTCGACTATAAAAGCTCTCGTCCAAGATTCCGCTAATCAGATCATCTCGTGGTATCATCGCGGCAAGACCCGATCAAAAGTGAAATATGAAGGTAGGCACACATAAATTAGTGATTGCGCGGCGTGCGATATTAAAATGACGTCACACGAATTTGGGCATGGGTGTTGTGACGAGTGTGCGAGCGGGAAGAAGTGGGTTTTGAGTTTTTTAATCGGTGAGAACATTTTATTCCAAATTTAACTTTTCTAAAACGTGTACTTTTCTGGTAAGAAAAGCATTTCGATGATAATGGAATTATTAATAATACTTTATTTAAAAAATTATCGTATACGGAACTATTTAACAACTAAGTATTAAAAAGGGAAAACATAAAAATATTTTTAATTTTATACAAATTTTTGATAATTGCGTCTTTTAAGATGCGCAGGGGGCAATTCTTAATGCTATACCGGGTTTTTAAAAATTCAACAAAGTTTTGGTTCTCCATATGTACATATGTCCTAACTTGTTTTGTTTCTAGAAAAAGTCAGTCTGTCCCAGTTTCATAACAAAAAATAAAAAAATTATGTTTGATTACTTCATCTAAATAAGTTTTGACAAAGTCAGCTAAGGTATTTGAGTAATTATGAATGGGAACACTACATATTTTTGAACACAATTATGGTTTTAAAAAAAAGGTTTTTAGTTTTTCTACGGTACTTGGTTGGAAAAAATATTACAAGCGAGTAACACAATTTTATTTAAAAAATAGGAATTCTGGTTTCATTAATAACTACATGTAGAATAATTTGCATCTAAGTATTTCATAATAGTGTTTTTACAGGATTTTCGATAATTAGACGTCAATATTTTAGCCACTACGCAAGAATTAAAAAAAAAATCAAACAATTTTCTGTCATATTCATCAGGGCCTAATGATTGATTTCACCTGAATTTGCGAATTGACATAAAAAATCATTTTAGTACCTGTAAAACATTTTATAGTATATATTTTGACATCCAATTTGGAGACGCCCTGTATTTAATCAAGCTTAATTGAATACCATACCATCATCCTGTTTGTTTATTCAAAGACTACGCCTTCATTTTCAATATACACACTTGCGGGTTGCTTTTACTTTCAGTTGTCTAGTCTTCATCGCTTCATCGCCACAATTAAGCAACGCAACTCATTGTTATATTATTAATGGTTAATTGTATATTGCGAAGGGCGATAACCAATCTTTTGTTCTCGCATTGTGCGAAAATACGCGCACATACATTATAATAAGGAACTTTTACATATTGCCGTATTTTTCTAAACAGCAACACTAATTTTCAGATCTTAATATTCACATTGGCCTCCATGTCCATCGCCTTGGCCGAACCGCCGATCCCCTCTAGCCAGTACCTGCCCGCGAACCAATACCTTCCACCGTCCAACCAATATGGAGCTCCGACTAGACCAACCTACGTACCTCCATCAACCTCGTACGGTACACCTGCTCAAACGAACCAATATGGGGCTCCCACTAGACCAACTTACGTACCTCCATCAATCTCGTACGGTACACCTGGCCAAACCCAAGCGTTGATCAGACCCAATGTTCAATATGGCGCCCCGAACCCAACTTACGGAGCACCTAGACCCACTTACGGACCACCTGCCCCTAGCTATGGTGCACCGAGCAGCAGTTACGGCATCCCCACGTCGACCTATGGTCCACCCACTACAACCTACGGGGCGCCAAGCACTCCGAGTCCCAGTTATGGGGCTCCGAGCACTTCATATGGTACTCCGATCAGGCCCGGCGCGGAATACGGAGTTCCAAACGTAGGGCAAGCCTATTTGCCTCCTTCTTCTGGTGGAGGATACGGATCGGGTGGCTACGATGATCAATCGGTTAGTATTCGATAGTGTCCAAATATGTTATTACTACTAACTTGCCATTACTTACTTACTACTACTTCCTAAAGGGCTTTTTTTTTCCACACTCACAAGCCGTAATTTGAAAAGGATGGCTACATATAATATCATAATATCAATGGGTTGAGTGTTACATTGCTGGTTGCTCGCATTTGGGGTTATGGTTTACAAATCGGTTTTTAATTTGTCAACCCATACTTACTCAAAAACTAATATATAATTTTAGGCAGTGTATTTTTATATGTCATCTATTAACCGGTTGTATTGGTTCAGGTTTCAATCTGTTAAAACTAGGATATTTTTTATATCTGTCGACTCAAAATTTAGGACGACGAGATTTCAGTATTAAATATTCTATTGAAACATAAAATGAAATAAATTTGCTTTATTGACTTACTAAAAAGCAAAATACTAACATACTATTGTCAAATTTAGAGCTAGAATCGTTCGATGCCTAAAGTGGATGCTATAAAAATTGATTACATGGGCAGAGTATCAGAGTTCATTTTTATGTTTAATCTAATTATATTTTAAGTGATATTGAAGAACATTAAAGAAACTTGGCAACTACGCTAACTGATTGCCGTGCATGCCCACCTATAAACAAATTTGCGTGCTTGACTTCCATATACGCCTATTATCGTCTAATACAGATGACAATCTATATCAATTATTTTTTCATAAAATAGGAACCGGCCAACTACGAATTCGAATATCACGTCCAAGATGCGCAGTCGGGCAACGATTTCGGTCACAAGGAGCAGAGACAAGGTGACGTAGCGCAAGGGAAATATTTCGTATTACTTCCAGACGGGCGTCTTCAAACCGTCGAATATACCGCCGACACGGGAGGCTATAAACCTAGAATAAGCTACCAGCAGGTTGGAGGAGGTTATCAAGCTGGAGGCTATCCGGGTTCTTCGGGAGGATACCAGTATTAATATTCCTAAGTTTTATTAGAGCTCGGCTCATGCCGATGAACATACAAAGCTTGGTAGAAATTGTAGAGTTATTTTCTTGTGATACTACGCATAAGGTATGCTCTGGGATAATTTTCCAGTCCTAATTTCTTTTTTGTACTCTCCAATATTTATCAAGCCGAATTTTATTTGTACCTTCGTGTAATAAATATTCGCGGGAAACGAATAGCTTTAAAACTAGGGTAATAAATATATGTAAGTATAATTCGGGACGATCTGATGAAGGACAGGAACCACGGAACAAGGACTACGAATTTGATTGTGTACCACGTTATTTATTAAAGGCCATACTTACATAAGTGCAATATAGAATTAAAAACTTGTAATATTTTGTGTTTATATGCCAGATTTTTTATAATAAACAATGCATTCAAAAAGCAAAATTTTGTTTCTGTTTTAAACCATTTAAACCAGAAAACGATTGTGTGTACAGTTTACTCGTTCAGTTCATTCAAGAGATCAAAGTTTGACCCTTCACACCAAGATGGCGCCAACGGCTGAAAATTAGATGTCCAGTTTACCGATAGTAATGACAACATCAGATGACAAAGTGATATCAATTCCGTCACTCGATTCTATAAATAAATTATTGACACTGACGGGCCCTTGGCTGAAAAACAAGACTACAGTACTTAAAATGCGTATTAAACTATAAGTTCAGACCGAGTTGTAGTTCAGGTATGATATCGCATAGGAAAATGTGCCAGCACCAAATTTAATTCAAGTGGCTTAGAATTTTGATTTTTAGTGATCCTAGTGGTATTTATTTCGTTTGCTAACCACTCTCGGTTTTATCGCAGCGATAGACGTTATGTTGTTTTGGTTGTGTTTTCCGGCAGTGTTTAGGAACAGCCCGATAAGCCGAAACAGCGATGAAGACACCATCCTGTTTCTCTTATTTTTGCATGACTTTTGTTTGCACTTGATGCATGTACTGTAGTGCCGTGGTTGTGTATTTAGAGCGGGTTTATTATTAAAAATTTACCAACATGCAGTCCTGTGTCGGAATCGAGGGGAGAAATATGGGCTCCGTTTGGAAGCGTCTGCAGAGGGTCAACAAAAGGGCTGCCAAGTTTCAATTCACAGTTTCCTATCACCAGTTGGCAGTCGATTTTAGCTCTAAATGGTAAGTTTGCATTTAAAACTTTGATGTCTTATAATGTAATTCAAGTGTCAAGTAAAATTAAGGTAAATTGCATAATTAATTAAGTAGGTGAATTAATTTGAATAATATTGTTTTTGTGTAGTCGCTATTATTAGGTAATTTTTATTTAAAAGTTGGAGATCACTCAAAACAATGAAAGTGGCCATGGGCACTGTTTTTTTTTTAATTATTTCAGATTAATAACCAGACAAGAGTATTAATCTAAAGTTGAAGTTTTGATGAATAATGTGAGATTATCTAGTAGGTATTGATAGATTTCGAAAAAAAGAAGGGACTATATGTAAATTTAATTAATTTACTATAACTATAATTTATTTTAATTAATAATCGCGTCAGTCAAATATTCCTGGTCTTCCCCTGCATCTTGATAAGTATATTCCATATGCCTTTTTCAGATATTTGAAATTCCAATAAGTAAATTATCTTAATCTTGTGTAAACAAGATAGTTCAATCAAAGTACTGTTCCACGCAGGCAGCTGTTTTAAATGCGGAACACGCCTCGCGTTAATAAAACCACAGCAGGGACTACCTAGCATTTTGAAACCGTTTTAAATGTGCCACATTGAGCTGGACGTAATTTGAACAGGAAATGTATGCACAAAATGCATTCAAGCTTTTCCTGTGCCGGAACCGTAAAAAGAAATGTGCTAAGATACCCGTTATAATCATTTTAAATAAAATAAACCACCCAGTTAGCCATTATTTTTTTAAATTTATGCCTTAACATAATATAGACATAATATGCAACCCGCGAAGAATCGTTAATATGAACGCATTGCGTAATATACTTTCTACTTCCTATTTAGCAAAACTTGGTACTTAACCCGAATGAAAAACCGTAAAACTGATATGCAGAGAGTTTATTAGAGTTAGGAGGTTATTACTTAATTGTCGCCTCTGGCGTTAATTATAATTAATGTAGTTTTTATTTATTGTAAATTCCATTTAATAGACAAATGGACTGGCGCGTTTTTAAATGTTTTCCATTAAAGGATGGCATATACGAGGTGTGTTCAAAAAGTAAGATCACTTTTAAGTTTCATCAAAAAGTATTTATTGAGTCATCAAAATTATTGCTGTCCCTTTCAGATATAATACACTCCTCCTCCAATATTAAAAATATAACCAAAAGTGGGGCGAGTTCGATATTGTATTTTTATTATTTAAGTCGGGAATCAATCCATAAATGAATCATATTTATTGAATCCGAGGGCATATTTGACAATAGGTATCCCGAAAGATAACCTAAGATTTTGCATTGAACCACGCTCAAAGAATAAAATCCCCACTAAACCAGGTTTTACATAGGCAACCGCACAAATTGTCACTGGTGTGGTCCCGCCGATCGCGCAGGGTGGCGTCCGCCCCGATGCCGTGGGAACCGACCCTTCAGAACCCCTATAAGGGCCTGGTCGTTTGGCCGGTTCCCGAGAACCACCAGGTCGCGATCACCTTGTTCAAGGACCCCAGAACCAACGAATTGGAAGACAAGGATTGGTCGTTCATTATAGAAGACGTGAGTTAAGCGCGAGGTTAATTGACGTTTTAATTTTAGAATGGGGGAATAAATACTTCTTGGTAGGTTTTCATTTAGACCAATTAAAAAGGCCGCGCGAAAGTTCTTAATTAATGAATTCCTTAAACCGTTTGTGGTCGCCGCGGTCCGTGATGACTCTGGACGCCGTAGTCGTCATTCTTTGAACCCGTATTGGTGATGATTTTTAACAGCAAGGCTGTTCCTTACTCGTCTAGTTTAAGTCTGAGACCCGACCACTATTGCGTCGTAAATATTTACGCGCAATATCCACTTTGTTCAATTGAAAAATCACGCTTGATTATTTGCTTGGCTTCTCAATCAATTGACATCTGTTCATTTGTTTTTATTTAAATTTTACTTCGCGTTGACTTTCTAGTGCCAAAATGTTCTCTATCGGACAAGATATTGCAACTATGCTGATGCCTTGATTTATAAACAAAATGCAATAATATAACTTGGGACCAACTAAATTTTTCATGCATTGACATTTCTTGTGTTAAATTTTGCAGTCAATAGGCATGTAACTACCAGTGGCGTTACATGCGCCTCTTTTTCTAACTGTTCAACCGATGTCTCTTTCTCGAGCTTTTTCCTTTACTTCGCCGACTCCTTATTTCTTTTTTGCGGCAAACAATTTCTTGTTCAGTGGAATCTCGGACAGGAGGCAAAAGTATCTACGTTATCTAGTATAGAGGTAAAATGGAGGATATGAAAGTATTATTTCCAGACTATACTTTGCAAGATACTCTTTAGGTAATTTAGAATGTGCAAATACGGCCACGAACATGGTTCGGAATATCCTCATAACTTGTAAATGCTTTTTCCAATCAAAAGAATGCATCCATCAGTTTTTAATTATTTTTGAAACATTAGTGTTAAGATGTTATTAATATAATAGCTCTAGAGTATTACGCCACTGAAGGTCGTTTTTCTCTAGTGCAATATTTTACTTGGGCAATTTCTTCCAGTGGTCATACATTCTTTTTAAACGTCTCTAGGGTAAGTAGCCCTAAAACTTGCAGCTTCATTTGTCTTATTTTCAATAATGTGCTTATAACCAGACATAACTGAAATCGTAAGAGACTTGTCATTCATTACTTGTAAAAATTTTAAGTTAAACTTGTATAGGTAGAAATTAACATATCTTTATTTCATTTACTTTGAGGTTAGAATCAATTCATCACCTTGAACATGTTAGCTGCAATCCGAGAAACAACAATGTCCTTGGCCTCAAACACGGCGCAACGTGCCAAATCTTAACTGCAGTTAATTTTTTTAAATTGGCTTAGTGTGCATCAGCCGATAGGAAATATCTGCGACTATTTGCAATTTTGGTGTTCTTAATGTACTAATGAATAAGTGAATAAGATGAAGATCACGTGATCATGTGATCATTTAACTAACTAAAATTCGTATGCCACGATTACAAGTTTATTTGGTCCTATTTATATAATATTTATAACAAATTTTTATTCTGTAGAGCTATTTTCATGTTGCCGTACACTTGGCAAAAAGTTTTTCTTCCCTTTCTTCTTTCCCTTGCTAATTGCATTTTCAAACTCTCAAAAGATCCCAGCCACCGGTAAACGCCGTCAGCTCGCCATCGCGCATTTGAACATGCGAAAATACGCTAGCGTGGAGTCGTCGCAGACGGAACTGCAGATCGTCTTTAAGCCGACAACGAAAAAAATCACCGGCGCTAAACTGGACTTCACGTTGTCTTGCGTGTTTCTGCGCGAAGGGAGAGCAACGTAGGTGACGAGATTCTAGCGGCTGCGTCCCCTGTATATGGGCACGCGAATCCGCATATCACTTCATCATAACAAACATCATAAAAAATATAAGGGGTGCTAAGACAGTTTTTTAATGATCAAATAATTTGGGGCGCTTATTCCAAATGTTGAGGTTATGCGAGAAAGAATTGCTGCCAAATGCCCAGAAATCTGAAAACTGTAATCTATAGCGTCATATAATTTTAAGAATCATGTCAGGATAGGCTATATTTTGTTATCAGGATCATTTTTGGTACAAAAATGTAAAGATAAACCGATTTTTAAACAACGTTATTTTTTTCTTCTAAGTCAATTGCACAATGTAGATATAAATACAAAATACAACATTTTCAAAACCCTAAAGATTCTGTTTGTGTTTATAAAACTTGATCATAATATACATAATAGCAGTGTTTCCCAACCTTTTTTGTGCCATGTAACATTTCTAAAATTTTTATGCCTCCCATACATTATCTTTAACATTAAAAAATTGATTTGTTCACTTAAACATAAATGATAGGTTCTAGGAGGATATCGCTATGAAATTGCTATCAAAAAACAGTAAATAATATTTCAAAGCATATAGTAAAAAAGTAAAATTCCAATTCAAATACAAATTTTCTATATTAGTTTATTTGTGTTATATCGATGTGTCGATTTCTTTTTTATCAGTAAATCATTTACAGCACCAAATCCACACTCAATTAACTATGAAGATGGAAACAGTAGTAAAAGTTCTCTTTCATTTTTAGTTGCATTTCGGTAGAGTTAAAGTTTCTTCACAAAGCCATGCCGTTGTTGCTTTTATATTAAATAAAATTTTTAATGACTCATCATTTTGCAATTCTGCGACTTCTTCTTGATACTGCATATTTGATATATCAGACAAACCTGCTAATATTGACTGCATCATCCATGTTGGCAAATTAATTTGTTTTGAATCAGAAAATCTTTCTTTGAAATCAGCGGATAGAATATTTGAAAGATTGACAATAACAATTTAAGGCTTATGAGTTACTTCACATTTTTTGAGCCAATCAAATTGTTCAAAGTTTTTGTTGTTAATATGTTAATAAATATGTATGAAACCATACATGTTTATCGGCTAAATAACTTGCAACCTTCGATGGTTAACAAATATTTAATTTCAGATTTGTCCCTTAAAAATCACTAAAATTATGAAACAGTTCCATAAATCTTTTCAAGCAGTTTGCTTTAGACAGCCATCTTACTTCGGTATGAAGTAAAAGGCTCAAATGGTCTTCATTTTGCTCTTCACAAAATAACTTGGAAAAGACGCTCAGATTTGACACTAGAACAGGCGAGATATTTTTCGCTATCAAGATTTCCTTATGAATAACACAATGCACAAGAATCATTTCTGGATTCGCATCTTTCATCAATTTGAAGCAGTCATTTTTCTTGCCCATCATATTAGGGGCTCCATCTGCAACACAAGATGTTATATTTTCATTGGTATATCATTGACATCTAAGTAGTTTTTTAAGTTATTATATATCTTTCGAAGTAGTGGTGCTTTCTAATCTTTTACAGAACAACATTTCTTCAGCAAAATGTCCTTCATCAATATAACATATAAATTATCAATACTGCCTCACTGTCTCTCAAAGTGGATTCATCATTTTTTCTAGTTTTGGCATTAATTAAAGAAATTTGATAACCAGCCCCAGTAAGACGATTATTAGTTGAAGTACGAGCAGTAAATAGAGACATTAATATTGCTCTTTTTTCAAAATTGTTCAAAGTTTTATAGTAACCCAAAGCTGAATTAATATGAGCAAAGCCTTTAAATGCGTCTCAAGACGACCTCGTTTCATTGATTCGGTGGTCAAGCATCCGCTTCTTCAGAGGTCCTTCCACGTCCACGTCCAACATCGGAGATGGAAGGACCTCTGAAGAAGCTCGCCACTCGTGCTAGCGAAACGTTAGGAAGTAATTCCAACCGACGACGGCCTTTAAACCCGAATCAAGATAATAGATTAGCGATGTTTTTTCCACTTGATATAATTGTCTGGACAGTTAAAATCTTATCGAGTGTATTCTGAAATTAACCCATCAAATTGCCCCCTTGTGGGGCGTGAGCCCCACGTTTATGAAACACCGCTCTAAAGTGTTCTGTGTTTATCATTATTGCTTTTAAGGGACGGTTGTAAAATAATTTTTTTAGAGCATAATTGATAATTTTTGAATTTATTACAGGCCTTTTTTAAACATTTATTTGGGTTTAGTTTGTTTATGTTGTTTATTATGATCAGATGATTGATGCGGACGCGTGTCCGTAGGAGGCGCTCGGTAGAATTTTGTAGATATATGTGGATGACCACCAAGTTACGTAAATAATGTCGATAGGGACGAGGATATGCAGTCCATGGCGTCGCTAATGTCCGTGAACAACAACAGCGACGACATCGCCGCTCTAGAAGATGTTGATGACGAGGATTTCTCGCAGAGCGACAGCCTGATGAAGAACAGCCTCTATGAGGTGACGCAGAACCTGCAGCAGATGACGAACTCGTTGTCTGGGTCCGATTTCGCCAGCACCCCCGTAAGCGTCAACAGTATCCAGTCGTTGCCCCAAGACGACAAAACGCCCACCGCGGAAACAGTGTCGCCGTGTAGGGAAGTGCCGACCAAGGTGGTCAGAAATATCCCGCCTCCGAAGGAGAGCGACTTCGTCGAACCGGATCGGGATTTTTATTCGGAAGAGTGTTCGGACGTGCTCGAACGCCTCGATAGTTCGGACGATACGTCGAAAGTTAACGCTAGCGGCGTAGAGTCGAAGTTCACCGACGGGGACAAGGAAAACGGAAACAGGAGCGTCGGCTTGAAACCGCTGGAGCTCGATAAGGATTATATCGAGACGCCGAAAAATTCGCAGAAGTTGACGACACCCGGTGAGTCGTTGGTGACTGGGTCCAAGGAAAACAGCTCTATCTCGAAAACCAATTGGAAAACATTCCTGATCTAGAAGACCCGCGATATTCGGGGCTACGGAACCCTATTCTTTATAATTTTTGAATATGTAGAGAAGATAGACGAAAACCACTATCGCTTTTTTATTTTGGTAAAAAAGTATTGCAAGAAAAAAGTATTTGCAAAATCAACATATGGGGAATTTTTAAAATCGCAAAGTTTTCAATATTCCCAATATTCAATTTAGATGGAAACTACAATGTCAGTTATTCTCAAAAAAAAAACGAAAATCTTTAAAAATTGTTTCGTTCCGTATAAATTATTACCCGTAACTGAGAAACCGCGATAAGTGGTACAATTTACACAGTTTACACAGTGGCGTAGAAAGCTAAAACTTTGGTATTTGCGGTTTTTGATTAGCACACATATGTGAAAAAATTCAGCTGGAAATCTGGGATCGCTGTTATCTGCTGTTACATGTTTCGAGTACAAGGGGCTGACTTTAAAGTTTAAATTTAATTTTAATTCAAATCAATCGATTTAACAGCGAAACACGTTTTAATAAATTTCATTTCGATTAATTGATACGAGACTTGAGATTGTTACTACGGAGAAAAGCACGCGGCGTTGAAGCTTCCCTTTTTGATCTTCGCAGGTCAGGACTTGCTCGAATGGTGCAAGGAAATGACGAAAAATTACACGGGCGTTAAAGTTACCAACTTAACGACCAGTTGGAGAAACGGTATGGCGTTTTGCGCGCTGATTCACCACTTCCGGCCCGAACTGGTGTAAGACCTTGACCCTAATTAAACCGGGAAATAGGGTAATTTTTTTCTGGTTTCAGCAATTTCGACTCGCTCTCTCCCCACGATATCAAGTCGAACTGTAAAATCGCTTTCGACGCCGGCGATAAACTCGGTATCCCTAGAGTAATAGAACCGTCGGACATGCACATGCTGGCCGGTACGTGCTCCTTATCATAGTCTAAACATACCTAGATTTATTTATTTATTTATTTTATTTTATGGCCCAACAGAACAATTCTAATTACAAGAAAATTTGAACATTATAAATTATAAGAATAAAAGTACAGTACATCCAATCCTACCTAAATAAGACAAATTGTTATCATCTATAATTTTTTTATTACAAATAGTCAATGCGTCATTAAAAATGTCAACAGTCCATGACCCCCATTAACCTTTCTACACACTACACATCTTGCCTTTGAAGTTCTAAACATGAGATGCCCAATCTCTGGGGAACCTCCTCGAAGGGTATGCGTGACTATCTTAAATGAAAGTTGCTTTAAAAAACGCATTTAAACAACCTCAAGAAGCGAGTGTTTGTAGGTTACAGAAAAAGGGTCCTAAATAACAGAAGCATATTGCAACTTGAACCGAACAAGAGCAAAATAAAATAATTTTGTGCTTCAATTGATGGTTTTCTAGTAATGATGGTTATTTACGCTGCTCATGCTCCTAGATGAGGATTTATGGCATATATTCATAACATAATTGTTTTCAAAAAACTTCTCAAAAAATGTAATCTATCTGTAAGCCTGGAAGCAATAAAGAAATTAATAAATATAAATGCATAAAAAAAAGTAAACGAAATATAAGAAAAAAATATATATACAAGAATAAATAATAAAAAAGGGGAACATGTCTAAAATAAAAAAAACTAAGAATTACGTCAAACTCTTGACTGGAACCTTCGGCACTGCACTAACACACTATAACGCGTTTTACCACAAACCGTTCTCCTGAAGATGCCAACTTGGTTGGCGAAACGCGCATCGAGTACGTAAAATTGAGTTTCGGTTTGTGGTAAAACGCGTTATTGTGTGTAAGAATTACATGTAAGATTTGCTCGTTTTCAATATCAAATTTAAACCAATATATGCGTTTAAAATTTGTAAGTTATATGTGATCCCGCACAACTTGAGGATTTTAGGGAGAATTTTCATTTTTGTATTTTATGGATATACAAAACGCGATCTATAATATAAATTTGTCATTGCCTACAGAATAAGCATATTATTATTATTTAATGAAAGTTTCTTATTTCTGTGTCATTGTGCTAATAGGTTTAGTTGACCCTGCGATACATTATCAATCGAATATTTCTGGAAAATTTATGAAAGTCATTTGCGAAAATTAAGTGACTAGAATCTGTAGATGCAGATAAAGGCTCGAAATTTGACCCTTCACCCTCTAAAAAGACGTGATCATTCCAAATCACACACATTATCATAATTCATTTCAAAACACTGTGCTGGTCTAGGGTTATTTGGTCTATGTCCGTACAAACCCCGGAGCGGCTCTTTAGACGCTTCCTTTGCTTAGTTCCCGATAAATTGGCGGTTATGACGTATCTGCATCAGCTGCGCGCACACTTCACCGGCCACCAGCTTGAGGTGCAGCAAATAGGTCGGACGGCGGACGAAAGCAACTACGTCATAGGCAAGTTTAACACCGACAAGGACACGGACATAACGAAACAGGTATTCGGTCAGGAGATACTCAATCTGCGCAAGGCGAAACAGAATAAGAAAGTTGAAAACGCGAAAGAGAAAGAGATGAACCTGATGAACATCGAAAAGGGCGACGCGTCGAAATTGAACCTTCCGCTAAAAATAACGACGGAACCGCTGCCGTTTAGGGACGCGATCAAGGAAAAGTCTCCGACTACCGTCAAAGACGTTAAGGATATATTGTTGAGCAGTTCGAAGAGTATCATGAGTAAGGTCGGTGGAAAAAAAATCATCCATCAACGAAAAAAACTTTTACCGCCTTTTGCCGCCAGGTGATCGCATCGCCGGGCAAAGATAAACATACTAAGAAGCAGGAAGACAAGAAACCTGACGTCAAAAAGCCGATCCTGATGACGAGGCGCGAGCTGACCGATCCGTTCGGTTCGGACGACGACGAGGAGGTTCCGCCTCCTGTCGTCAACCCCAAAACGCCTGAATTAAACTGCGAGGCGAATGGAATCGGCGACGCGGGCGACGGTAAAGGTGACGGAGACGTGTTCTCCGACTTGCCCAAACCGAATCCGGTAAGCAACGCTGCAATTTTTAACGGTTTGCTGTTTGTATTGTGCCTTGTTTTTTTTTTGTAACCTGTAACACTCGAAACCTCGACTACGGTTTGCTCTCCAGAGGTCGCCGTGGCACTGTTGGCCAGAAACCCCTTAAAATAGTGAACGATTCAAAAATATGAAATTTCAAAATTTATTTTTCTCGTTTCCAAGTATGGAATCATATTGATGCGTTGCCATGGAGACGTGTAAACGTCTACAAAAGTATTTTCGATACTTTATAACCTATCAAAACTTGTTCGCGAATTACAAAAAAAATTGTGACAAATAACGTTCAACTAGGTAATTAAATCATTCTTTTAAGTCATTAGTTTTAATGATTTCTGGATGTTTTTATTTTTGACAGGTGTGCAGTGGAAAGTCAAATTTTCATCAAAAATTGTAAACAATGGCGAATGTACGAACCTCTTTCTAAAATGTAATGTAATATGTAATTATCATTATTGTGTCTTCTCTTTCTTACCAAAAAAAAAAAAAAAAAACAGAAATTCAGGCTCTGTTTTTTGTTGTTTCTAGACATATGACTTCATAAAAGTCGAAAACTAGGTATTTTCGGAAGCGGATGAGGTGTCAGGGACATTACTAATATTCAATTGTCTGTAATTTGTACAATCTGCCACAAGGCACATTAACAAAGATGAAACAAATATCAAAGGACTTGAGTAACCAATTAACAAAAAATGGAATAGTTTTTCGTACAAAATCAAAACTTATGAATTCATTACCGCTTCATAACGTGCTATTCCGGTAAAATTAGAAGGCGTAAAGAAAATTTTAATAATTTAAGTTATTCTATCAAAATCTTTAAAAAATCGTTGAATATTTTTTCGGCAACATAAACACGCGCTTCCTGAACGCGAAGATGCGAAAAATCCAGCGCCTTAATAAACCAAAGACTGACTTTTTCGGAAATAAATAAGGCGATTTGGATTGAGAACATTTACAGGCCGTGTCGAAAGTTTCAATTATCGTATTTACGGGTTTCACCAATTGGACAGGGTGCGTGAAATATACGACTGGAAACGGTTAGAAATTTTCATTGTATTCAATTACATTTTCATCTGTTGTACCGTGCGTTCAGTTTATCTTGATATCATTTTAATTAGCCTTAACTTTTTTGTTTTTAGTTTTTTTAAAGCATTATGTTTATATTCTTTCAAAACAGAGTGGATTGACACCCGAGATATAGCTGTCTCTTCATATAGTCTAGTAATAGAGGAAACTGGACGTGCTTCATAGAATCCCTATATGTTTCCCTTATTTTCTTTATTTCAAACATTATGATTCCGGCATACCTTTTTAGCATTTAATTGAAATATCTGTTTTGAAGGAGCTCGACGTGCTGGATAAGTCTAATATGCTGACGACCAGCTGCGGTTGCACTGTTATTGTTCAGAAAGAATAGTTAAAGCATGTAAATTCGCGAAGAACCATTTTAATAATAATGACTTGGACAATAATGACCATCAACGTTGTTTACTAATATGTCAAATATAAACATATTTTTATTTTTCAGTCAGGACACCCTTTGAAATTATATAAAAATTTCCTATTTGTCAAAAACAAGTGGACTAAAATATAAAGTGTGTTACATCATTGTAATCGGAATAAGATATTCTATTAAACACATATAATATACAGGGTGTTCCATTACAAAAAAATAAGATGTAAGCTTATATGTCACAAAATTGATGGTGTTTTGTTTTTTTTTATACGTCACTTGGAAAACACTTGGGTACTAACCTTACCTTTTTTTTGTTTACCTTAATATCTCTAAAAACGAAAAAGTTACAGCCGATTAAAATGTTATCAAGATAAATTGAACGCACGGTACAAGGTGTGCGAGATATTTGAAAATTATCACTAACCAAATCGCCGTTTCTGTAGACAATGTTTATATTTTTCAGTATATAGTTTTGCATCTTTTGGTTGAATGCTTATGCGAAATACGCTTTATATAGGGTGCTCGTAAAAAATAATGGATTTTCTTTTATTTGACCGCCGTCGATATGAATGTTTTGAAAATCCGGGGGCATACAAAAACAAATTATTAAATCATGCTAACAAAAACCGATTTCGGTCAAGGTGTGGCTTGCCATTAAAAGGTTTTTCAACCGTGTTGTGCAGCAAATTTTAATGCGCCATTCCGAGCAGCGGGAACGGGCGAGGCTGTTGCTGGAGCAAACGAAGAGGGACAGCTCGAACCCCACGTCGCCTGCAAAGGTACGTCTAGTACGAACATCGTCTCGCTAACACTTTTATTTGTCTAACGTATACGCAAAAGTTACGCATCGTTGTCGCAATTGACGTTCGACGCTGATCCAAAATCGTGATTGTTGTTAGTCTGAGGAGGAACGTCAAAATCAGCTTCGCGAACGGGCGAGGAAGTTGCTTGCCGACGCGCGCAGGGGTTCCGCCCCCACCACCGAAATAATACGCATTAGTCCGGATTCCATCAAAGCCTACGTGGAGGCCGAAGAAAAGCAAAATAGTACAGGTGATTTGGGCACGTGCGCCTTCTGGATTCCAATACGTATAGTCTCGATTTTAGATTCCGAAAGGAATGGTAAAATATACTCGCAAACTAGTGTACATAGCATCGAAGAATACTCGAGTAAGTTTAGCCCTAGCGATAGTCACATGGAGAGGATCACTCCGGACAAGTTACCAGACGAATTAGGTTTAAAAGAGATGGGAATCGACGTGCATACCTGGATCGATAAGGAGATGGAAGACTTGGAACGGGAGCAAAGAGCCATAGACGAGCAGGCGGCCATCTTGGAGAAACAGCTTAGGCAAGTGATGGACGCGTCCAGTAAAGAAGAGGAAGAGGCATTGATGGCCAAGTGGTTCATGTTTGTGAACAAGAAGAACGCCCTCTTGCGTCGACAGATGCAACTTAACATATTGTGAGTAGCCGCGTGTGGGCGGTTCGCTTGGCCAATGCGGGGTTTTTTTCAGGGAGAAGGAGGCGGACCTCGAAACTAGGTACAAAATGCTGAACGAAGAGTTGCGGAAAATCGCATCGGTGGAGGACTGGAGGAAGACAGAGGAGCAGAGAAATCGGGAGCAGACCCTGCTGGACGAATTGGTTCAGATTGTTAATAAAAGGGACGAGCTGGTTCACCATTTGGATAGTCAGGAGAAGGCGTAAGTTTTCTCGTTTCTCCTGTTTTTTCCAGGTGAACATTTGAATTTGAATATGATTTTTTTTCAGAATCGAGGACGACGAAATTATAGAGAAAGACCTTTCACATATCGAACTGCCGGCGGCAAAGGATAGCAATTGCGTAATTTCGTAGAGGGCCCGTACACATATATATACACCGCAATTTCTTCCAAACAATCTCGAATTCATTTTTCGTTACGAAATACGGTGCTTCTTGTGATATTTAATTTAAGTCTTCGTCGAGTGCGTTCAATCTTCACCGGCCTTCTTCATTTTGACGTCGATTGAAGAAATTGTTGTATTTGGTTTTAAGGGATTGGTGGGTTCTGGAAGCAATTGAAGCTGCCCTAATTAACACTATTGGGCGATTCGTCCAAAAATTTAACTCCCCCATCGCTCAAATGGATGACAAAACGCTCCAATCCCTTTATAGGGTTTTTGTATATTGGTTGTATATTTTCGTTTTAATTTATTGATTGTGATTTAACTTAGCATAAGGGAGGATTAACAGAATTGCCAATTATATTTATAAAATTCGCGAACAAAAAATCTGGCTGTAACTATGAGCCATCCACTGTCTTAGTGCAATATTTTCTCTCGCTTTTTCTCAAATTAATCGCGTTTCCGGCTGGGGTGCGGACTGAATTTGGCGGGGCGGAAAAACCGAAATTCGATTTTATTTTACCACCGCCCCATACCCGTTCCGCGTTACCCCCCTCCGAGTTTTGGTTGTAATGTTGGATGTGACTTAGGAAAGCTTAAAAAAGTAGACTGCGGGCTTCGCGTGGTTTTCAGTGTAACATAGTACTTTTTTATGTCCCTATTTAGGTTACTGTAATTAAATGTAAATAAAAGACATCTAATACTATAGAATTGTTTTATGATTTAAAAATGGTTTGTCAACTTGTGAATATCCGTTATGTCTTCTAATAATTCGTCGAGTTTGGTCCCGATCTTTTTTGACACCTATATAAAAGAGAAGAAAAGTTGGTGAAAAGTTTGCTAAACCACTGAGCCCTTCTTAAGCCTCAGACCTTAGGACAAGATACGCAAATGCCAATTTTCTCAATTGGTGGCGCTGTTACCTATTACTTTTTATCAGGTAAGTCTTTCATTTAATGTTGAAGAAACTAATTCATAAAGTCACTGAATCGCGAAAGATACCAAACCAACTATTTTTAAACGGATAAACCATACAAGGTAAACATAAAATTCGGCGGAAAACAACGCAACCATTTCACTTTACTTCCGAAGTAGTTAAACATGTTGCCACCAGAGGGTCCGGGCCATAATTAGTTCCTGAGGACGTGATATTGGCTTTGAGGAATGATAAGTCATTTTACCTTAAAGCCTTTAAGAAGGTTGAATGGATGAGATATAATATATAAGAATTCATTCCTGTAAGGAACTAAGTTTAACCAATTTTACATTTATTTTAATTTTTTATACCTCAAACTTGCTGACCTTTCGTCAATCACCCTGTTGGCTTCTTCAGACCTTAACTAAAAATGGCTCCCATTCTACTCTGGTTATATATTGTTTGAGGGGGGCGAAGCTAAATAATGGGCATGAATATTGTCTCGCGTAATTCACCAATATGATTCCTATATAGGTGAGTTTGGGGTTCAGATTTTTTGGTTTGTTGTAGTTAGTTGTTAGTTATCTGGACATCAGATCTTATTCATGAAACCGGACATCAGACTTTATTCAATAAAACTAAAATTCTGGAATGTAATCCATTCTTCTTCCAACAAAAAATCCAAGAATCTATAGAAATCTATAAGCAACCAAATAATCTCAAACGACTCAGATCTTTAACACTCACCAATATGGGAATCAGCCATATGAGAGAATGTTCATGCCCTTCCTTTAGCTCCGTCCCCTCAAACAATATATAGGCATGTACAGAGTAGGGACGCGAGTCAGAGCTCTGAAGAAGCCAACAGGATGATTGGCGAAACGTCAGCAAGTTTGATTTATAAACAACCAACGTAGGAGGAATCCAGATGAGTTGTAAATATCCCAAAGTCTGGGACTTGAAAAACGCTCAATGGTAGCTAAATGTAGTTATTTGCCCATATAAAAAAACGTTGGCACCATATATTAGATATATGGATGCCATGCCTCTGCTGATAATGCAGAAACTCTTGAAGCGAGGAAGAAAAAAAAAGTTGAGAAAAGGGCCATTCGTTTTCAACCAATAACACTTGTCATTTCCAACCAACCAGTAAGTTTAACTCCCTACATGGTCGGTCGCTGACATATTAAATATGGCATTTTTACGGCAATATATTATCTAGTAAGCTATATGATTAGAAGTGTCTTACTTCGAGTTTTACTTTCTTTAGCTCCTCCCCCTCAAACAATATATAGGCATGTACAGAGTAGGGACGCGAGCCAGAGCTCTGAAGAAGCCAACAGGATGATTGGCGAAACGTCAGCAAGTTTGATTTATAAACAACCAACGCGGGAGGAATCCAGATGAGTTGTAAATATCCCAAAGTCTGGGACTTGAAAAGCGCTCAATGGTAGCTAAATGTAGTTATTTGCCCATATAAAAAAAACGCTGGCACCATATATTAGATATATGGATGCCGTGCCTCTGATGATAATGCAGAAACTCTTGAAGCGAGGAAGAAAAAAAAAGTTGAGAAAAGGGCCATTCGTTTTCAAGCAATAACACTTGTCATTTCCAACCAACCAGTAAGTTCAACTCCCTACATGGTCGGTCGCTGACATATTAAATATGGCATTTTTACGGCAATATATTATCTAGTAAGATATATGATTAGAAGTGTCTTACTTCGAGTTTTTCGGTGATGCTCAACTGCAGAAAGTTCCAGACCAACTCCCCGTCGATTATACTCCTGGCGGGGTTGGTCAACAGTTTCCTCCAGTTCTTGAACGTCCTAAAAGGAGATTTAAGCAGATCTAAAAACCGAAAAAGTACCAATTACCGGAACGCCTTCGGATTAAGTCCTGCGATGTGGGCGCCGTGCGTCACCAGCACGTTTTGCAACATGAGCAGTCTTCGGTAAGTCTTCTCGGGCACCGGCATTATATAACCCAGACCGCCGTCAAGCGTCGCTGGAAAAAAAATACATTTTCACATTACCCCTGGTCAGATTTAATATAACCCCGCCTCACCGAACATGGTTATGTGCCTCTTGTCTGCGCCGCTGAGGTGCTTCTTGTCTTCACCCAGCTCGCCGAGCTTGCTTTTTATCCTGAAGAACGACGTAATCGACTGGCCGAGGTGAAAATCTGCTTTCCTCAGCAACCGTTGCCCTGAAAATATGTGTGCACTGCTAAACCTTTAAGGACCAACCACACATCGACATACCTCCTAGGGATTCCCTAGCTTCCGGCTGGTACATATACAGAACCAAATTCTTCTCGCCGTCAGAGACCAAGAAGCCCATGTTAGAATTGTCGATCATGAACTCGATCGAGTACACCTCGCAGGACCTGAAATCCTGAAAACAAACGCGTAACGCTTGCCCATTGTGAGGCGCGTGGGCTTACTCGCGACACCAATGACAATGTCCTGTACTCTTCCTGAAAACGAAGCAAGGACACCGATTGGTACACGTCGGCGATTAGTAGCAAACTCTTAATGGTCAGTATTTGGTGGGTATAAACCTGGGTGTCTATGAACGCCACCCCTATAAGGTCGTTGTCTTTGAGCTGCCAGATGTATATCTGCAAAGTGGATTTCAATTAATCTCTGAGAGACATTAGACATAAATGGACTGATAATTTTAGACAAAATTAAAAGAAATTACGGCCATTGCCACCAACAGCTGCAAGAATGAAATTTTAGGGACGGGCTAGGGGACTCTAAGCTTGATTTGTTGCATCGTCAGTTTCTTCGGTTTCCCCTTGGATAATGGGGCATAATGTCACTTTTTCATTGCCGCCGGAAAATTTTTTGAATAAATTGGGAGGTAATACAGTCAAAGTATAACGGGTTGTCATTGTGGTTCAGGGTTCTGAAAACCCAAAAAACCCAATATTTCTACAGCAATATTTGGAAACGAAAAGTATAAAAAGAAATGGTTTACTGTTCTAATGGTATTTTTCATATATGCTAATATCCCTTGTGGAAAACATATCCTCAACAATTTCATTCAATTCTGGATGTCCCTCAAAAGCATCAGCTTAAAATTTAAATAATTATAGAAGTATCAAAAGCTAATGTAACTCCAAAGGATAAATAAGATGCTGCAGAACAAGAGACAATTTCTTGTACAAAAAGTATCATTAGTATTACGGATATGTTCGCTAATATTAGCTATATTAAACTAATTTTTCAAAGAAACTTCCACAGGCTACTGGAATACTCTTTACAAAACTCCTGCGTGGGTTTTTGCTGAGTCGAACTTGTTGACGTTTCGCCATCTGCAGACCTTGACTGTCACTCGAGCCGGTGTTTATGGCCTTCATTTAGCTCCGCCCCCCTCAAACAATATATAAGCAGGTACAGAGTAAAATGAGAGTCAGTTTCAGTCAAGCTCTTAAGAAGTCAACAGGATGATTGGCGAAACGTCAGCAAGTTCGACTCGGCAAAAACCGATGCAGAAGAATCCAGAAGTTTTGTAAAAAGTACTATATTAAATTTTTATATGTCTTTGTATATGACAATAAACGTGTTAAGAAAAGTAAAATTGTCCATTTTATTAAGTCGTTCTCTGATATGCCATTAAAGGAACATCTTATTATTATTACTTGGAGATAATCTTCAAAAAATCCCAGCTCTGTATTCATCTTACGATATTAGTAATTTTGAGGTTAATTTTTGTTAGTTGGGTAGCCCAAATCGGGCATCTTAGTTTCGGCATCAACAGAGTGACTTAGGGACAACTTCAGTGGTCTAGCTAAGAAAGTCCAGAATACATTTAAATGCCACAGAGTGACCCCTAAGATGTTGGTGGGAACGGCCGTTACGGATATTTTGTATTTGTTATACAATGCAACCGGATTACCTTTTGTCCGACCGCGGAGACTAAAAAGCCTTTGACTTGGGATAAAGCGGTGACTGGACCTTTCTGATCTTTCGCGTAAATTTCCTTGAACTTATTTTTGGTCAAAGGTTGGCCGGGTTCCGGCACCACTTCTATGACGTCGTAAATCAAAATCTGCAACAACCGGCGCATTGAATTCGGCTCGGTCTCACCTACTAGTCGAGACTAACCCGTCCTCTCGACGTGATATCTTCGCCGTAATTATAGTTGGATCCGACCGCGATGTAACCTTTTAAACCGGAACGGGTGCCCTCGTATTCGAGGGACACGTTCCGCAGACAGGTGACGTGTTCCCACTCGTCCAAGTCGAGTTTCGTATTGGGAATCACGTCCCACGACACCGGCGAGAAAAGGCACAGGCTGAATTTCTCTTGTAAAGGATACGGAAACCTTGGAATTTCGTTATTTCGTTAACAATCCATACATTCCATAATGTTTTTTGACCGTTAACGCATAAATCGCTACCCAAGCAGCACGACGACATCGTAAAGATATAAACTATGTGAATATTGCGTAACACAGGGCAGAAAAAAGCGCGAACATTAAAGACGATGTCTTCAAGACATGATGTGCTGTCTGGGTATGGTATCATTTATGGTAAGTTTTATGAGAGCCGCGTTTACACTGCAGTTTTTTTTTGAGAAGTCGCAAAGATGTTTGAATGTCTTTACCACTTGGCGTCGCTTTCTACTGACTATAAATGATTCGGTGTTTAGTATAGTATTGAGTTACTTGCAAAACATTTATTGTTGTTAATTTTGTTTCTTCTTTATTCTTTGGAATGAATGTGCTTCTTGTTTGTGTTAACTCTTTGTAATAGTAGCAATGATTTATTTTCTAAATAGTGATGTAGGTATAGATGTTACAGAAAGACAAATTAGATCCAGACGTATTAATGAGCCATAGTTAGATGTTTCCAGATCTATGGACTTTATATATAAATAAGTCTACCCAAAGATCGAGCTTCTAAAGGTCAGTCCAAACCTAAATGTTCTAAGATTTGACAAAAAAAAAAAAGCAAGAGCTCGAAAATTTCAGTAGAAACCGTACTCTGCTATAGTGATAAAAAGGCCTAAAAAAGGATAGTGTCCCATACCTATCACCCTTGTCTTCGACGGTTAACTCCTTATCTTCTCCGTTAAACCTGTAATACTGATTAGACGGTTCGGCCGTGCTAGTAACCAAGCAGTACGTTTTCGACTCCAAATGGTAGCTGACAAAATGCGGAGTACACCTTAGGGGCACTTTCCTGACAGGCCAAGGCGCGTCGTAACTCAGATGGGTGGGTAAAATACCGATCCTAAGTTCGTCCTAGAAGAAAGCGTTTACATTTTGAAGTGTGTCCAAAATTAAATACGTCACCTTTCGGTTGAAGTAAAGGAACCCTTCCGGGCAGTTGACGTTATTAAATGAGGCGAAACTGAGCACCTCGCCGTCAATCGTCATAGGATGCGCGCGCAGTTCGCCTCTCTTGGTTAAAAACAACCAATAGGGATTTGCGCCGCACACAAAGACTCCGCTATAACCTAAAAGTAGGGAAAGTATGCGGGGGCGACCCGTACAAATACGCTGTTTAAAAGTCCAGTACCCAAATTGTAAGGGCATATTTTAAAGAGAAATAATGAGTTTTTTTTCCTATAAACATATGTCCGCAAATGCTTCGTGATCGACCTACACTGTGTTAAAGTCTAATTTTTTTTGTTTATAGGTTACATTTTACGGCTTAAGTCATCCAACGTGCCGATTGATTGTTGAATTTAAAGGGAAATTATTTTCCACAAACCACACACTCTAATAATGCTTTATTGTAGCTTATGCAGGTGAATGAGTTGGCTGAATGTTCAAAGGTAACATTATCAAATACTTCCACGGCTACGCTTGTTTACACCACAATCAGCGAATAAATAAGAGAAGTGCATTAAGATACATGATCATCCTATCCAAAAATATTATAATTGTGTTTTTAGAATAAAAAAAGCTTGAAAAATATGCTCTTGAGTACTGAACTTTAAAATGCTCTATACTTTCGTCCCATACCCGCGATATTATCGAAATATCTTATCTTCACGATTTTCTCCTGCAACGCGAAAAAATCAGAGTTCTCGGTCTCGATCCGGCCGTAGTTGTTAGGCGCATACATGACGTCGTGTTTGACCTTGCGAAACCTCAGCTTCAGGTTGCCCTTGTAATATCTGAACACCTCGTATATGTACAAATATTTTTCGAGACGCACTAGAAACAACGGACGCGACCCGTTATGTCCCAAGCCGACCATCAGTATCTCTTTGACCTGGTTATCCTTCTGGATTTGGGACTCGTTCACGTGCGACGTCGCGTTCAACTGCACCGACTCCAACGCGTCTATCAACACCTTGAGACCGAAACACAAATTTTGCACGTAAAAACTCAACTTAAAGTCCGGTATCGAATAAATTTCCAAATTCGAGTTTTCCCGCACAACGAACAACCAATAGGTCGGTCTGTGACCGACCAAATATTTTTTCCACCAGTTGTAAAACACTTTGGGCTTTGGCGTGGGCGGGTTCAGCGACGGCATCTTGAAATCGTTGTCGCCGTATAACAGATCGTCCTCGTTTTCCGTCTCGTTTTTTACGTCGACGCTGCCGATGTACTGTTCGGGGATGTGAGTGAATTCATCCGGGATTTTGTTTGTAAACAAACCGGACGTGTCTTTGTACATGCAAATCGTAGACACCGCGGGACTCTGGAAGCAAAGAAGGTGTGACCCTTCATAACGGCAGCCTTATTTGGCAAAAAATATTTTATAGGTTTTACCAAGGACATTATGTCGAAAGAGACACGATAATTTATTCACAAAATGGTTTGGTTCCCATGTTTATGACAATAGATCGGATCGGATAAACTAATCAAAACCTTTTTATCTATGAACTCTATAGTAGAGCTGACATATACGTTACTTTATACAAGTCATTGATTATATGTTTTAATCTTGTTCGAGTGACACTGGTGCATCGTCACGTCACAGCCGATTTTCTAGATTTTCGAAGACTCCAAGTCATATTCAAACTTCGAATGCGAGTAAAATTAGTTAGTGCATTTCAACAATGTTTGGAAGGTGTATTGTTAATCTACTAATAAAATTTCTAGTAAATAAAAAAATTAGGTGCAAGTGGCCCCGTAATATTAAGGACTTGGCGGGTCTCTACGGGTTCAGGTATCGAATACTTTGACTAAAAACTTCAGTTTATACAGGGTGTTACGAAAATGACATAATATAATATGAGTTAATGTGGTGCCCACCCTGACGCCGAATCGATATTTTGTTCGATCGAATTGGGATAGAAAAGGCTATTTTTTTGTAACCTTTTCCTTCCCAAAACAATTCACTCTTGATCACCACCTGAGATTTCTGGTTCCGGAATTTAATTAAACCTTTGATGACAACATGACATGATTAATATTTGCCTAAATAGGTTTAGCACTACACACTATTGATAAGCAGTTTAATTTTATTGTTTTGCGGAACGATACTTGCAGCGCCATCTATTTTTAAATAAACTTCAAAAGGTCACCGACATAATGTTCCTTCTTTTGAGAATACAGAATTAGTGATTTGCCAAAGGTGGAAACTGTCGAAGCGCTTAGAAAAAAAGCAGTAGCACTGGCAAGTGTTTGTTTTGTAATTTGAATTTATTAATCTAATGGTGTCTAAATAAAGGATAAGTCAGTTTTTTCATATTTGAACTTGCAAGTACTGGCAGGATACAAAAGATCTAGTTGCACTGACAAACAAAGCTAACTAAATATTTATGCCATTTGCCTCTTGACTAAATTCACTCTTTACATTAAAGCATGTCATTTCAATAACACTCTGTATATAAAAATTTGGAAACAATCTTTTATGCGGTATTAAACATCAAAAATTTCATAATGTGATTCAATTTTCAAAGTACAACCATATATTCGACATATTGTCAAACGAAAAATTCACTCTTTTTTAAAAATTCCATTTTCACTTCCTTTAGAAAATAAAATGTACGGAGCTGTTTCAACATACAGTGGAGTAGTCGGAGAATTTTTTAAAAACCGCTGGAGTAAATAAATTTTAAACCATGGCCAAGGAAGCTTCTCTGTTTCTAATAATTTCAAGATAAGAGTGAGGTGAAAATTCGTTTGCACCAAACTAAAATATTAATAATAACAATATTGGGGATGTAATTCATCAAATTACATTTAAATAAAGGGTTAATTTAGAAATTTTCAAATTTCAAAAATAACCGACTTACATTAGACAGAGTCGACTTGCTGATGACGAGTTTGGCGGTCCCGCGCGTCTCCCTGAGCATCAGCGTAATGACTTGTCCATCAGCTGTCATGAGCGAGATATACGGATCAGCACTAGAAACATGAACAATCGGCGATCCCAGATCCATAGGAACGTGCTGAAGCTGGATGGCACCTTGGAGCAATCTCACGGCCACCATGCTAACTTGAACTACAAATTTATTGTTGCCCAAATTCCCGGCGAACACCGTGGGCCCGTTGGTCGCGAATCCCGTATTGTCAATTTCGTTTATCTCCTCCCCCGTTTGGAGGACCATCGTGCCGTCTTCTTGGCTGAGGATCAGGAAAGCGTGTCTGTCCTCGCCGCTTTTCACCGTCCACATATTCGAACATCCCGGCAAAGTAAACGTAGTAACTATTTGGGGCTTGATGGACCGCTGCAGCACGCACAGAGCACCATTTTTGCCGTAACCGGCAGTCGTGACCAACTCCAAATTAAAATCCGGATTGTTGCTGAATTCTTCGCTTAAAAACGCCGGTTCGCCTATGGAAACGTTCCCGCAAGGTCCGATATTCAGCAAGCTGTCGCACACTTCGAAAATATAACTCGTGATCTGGACGCCAGTTTGTTTCTGGCTACCGTACACTTCGAGTTCTTCCGGATCTCTTATATCCATGACGTCACTAGCAATACAATCGGTCAACGAATCCAACATCTTTTCGCCGTTTTCGTCGGCTTTCGAGGGGTCCTGCTTTTGTCTCTTCGCCCTCGGCTCTTGACTATCCTCCAGAGTGATAACCTCGTTCGCTTTCTCGGTGAATCGAAGCAGCAGAGAGTTTCCCAAGCGCGAGCCCAGGAAAAGGAAATTGTTTTCGCATACGCACAACTAAAATTTACGTATAGTATCGCATGCGTTGATATATATTTTAACACAACATACGCATGTGGTCAAAACACTAGCGGCGGCTTTTTCAAAATGGAAATTTCGCACATATCGCATGCTATCGGCTAAAAGCATTAAAACGTACAGTTCGCCCCCTTTTAAGGACAATACCAAAGTATCGTCTTCGAGGAAACCGATTTGCGCGCAATCAAAACTGATTTTCACGTCCTCTTGGGGTTCTAAAATTTTGAAAAATCAATTTTGGATTCCATTGTCTTCAATCATAGATAAATAAAAAAGACATTGCAGAATCACAACTATTAGATAATGGACAACCCCTAAGGTACTAATGCGCACTTTAGGGCACTTCCTTTTAAAACAGTGATTTCCACACACTTAACTTGTTTTTCTATAAAAATTTAAAATAATAAAATACATAACAATAGTTGTTGAACCACTGGTATCAAAGAAAGTTTCTATTAATAGAAACAGATAAAAAATGGTCTAAACATGTCATAGATAAATTGTCATATCCATAACGCTTTGTAGACAGAAGATTTGGGTGGTGGGCGATTTTGGCAAATATGCCCCCATTGTTTAACATATTAAGTAAAATATTAAGACTAATAACACCAAAGGCTTTCTTGAGTCACTATCTTATGCTCACCCTCAGCTGTTTCATCTAATGTGTTGCTGTTTTTCATGAAGCCCATATATCAGTACTAATATATTTCAATACAATTCTATTCTTTAATATTGTCTCCAAAATTTGTGAATAAACAGTTGGAGCTCAACACAATATTTATTGACTTAGTTGATATGGACACAAGATAATTCATTAAATTAAGGAAATGCTGCCCAAATGCCGAAAAAATGCCAATTGCAAAACTGCAAACTGCTATATGGATGCCATAAGGGTAAAAACGAGGTCTCAATGGCTCGTTCCTCAAAATTTTCTATACAGCCGCTGATAAAAAAAGAGACAAAAATCACCATATTTCTCTATGAGGTCAACTTACTTAAAGGAAAATTGGAACAACTTTCTGCAATACTATTGACGGAAACTGCATAGGGAGGAATACTTTGATTCAGATATACCAAAGAGTTTACAGCAAAAATGAGAGTGCCTCCCAAAGGTTTCTTTATCGGCACCGCCCTAATGCAGTCGAATGGCAAATTCGACATGCTCCATATGATGGGATGCACTTTTTGTTGCAAATTTAAAGATATGGCAGCCATCGCGCATGTGTCGCTCCTCACCGCTACTCGCCTGACATATGAACAAAAATGAAAATTTCAATAAAATATAGAAGAATTCACTTACCCCGCGAATGTCTTTAGAGGCTCATACAAAATCAGCAATGTTGGTTCATAATAGCCATGCAGAAACTGTATATCAATAATGTTGTCTATTTTGTCAATAAAATCTTTCAAAACAATCATATATGATGCTAGTATAGGGGCTTTGACAGTGCCTCCAGAAGTTGTCATTGGTTTAACATCAGTATCACCATCATCAATGGAATTATCTCTACGGAATGGCAATACTACCAATTTTCTCCCTAAAACTGTCATAACCGCACATCGATTTTCTGGATCTACCCGGATCATCGGTATGTGATGATGATGTGTCCAGCCATCTTTAATTTCATCTTCCTCAAAGTAATGCAAACTTATCGTTCGCAAATCATGATGTTCTGGGTCATATTCTACCACTGACAATTTCGCATCAGAAAAGGCTAAGAGGAGAGAATCGCGAGGGGAGTTTGCTAGAGAAACACTCTGCAACGACATCACGTTGCCAAAAAGCTGATACTGAGCCACACATTCCAGTTTTGACTTTGGAGGAAAGAACTCTAAAAGAAATAAAAGAATAGCTTCCCAATGAAAATATAAATTATCCAATAATACCTGAATATCTTTCGACTCTGGATTTAGTATCGGCATCAGGAACTAACTTGAAAATCTTCAAGATATTGGCACCGGCCGTGACGAGACTCTTCTCAGTTTTGTTAAAGAAAAAGCAACTTATTGCGTGCTCAACACCTGTGGCCTGATGCGTTTGTTTACAAATGGAAAACATGGCTGTTGTATCTTAAACAGCGTCGTTAAATAAGTTTCATTACTTTCTCCAAAAAGGCAGTTATAACAACACTCCTTTTTTTGTTTACAATTTTCTTGGAACGATTTTAAAATTCAATACATAACCTCAAGTTAATCATAAACACTTCTTCCTTGAATACCAGGATAATTCGCTCGTTGCCGATGCCTGCCAACCACAGAATACTTCTGTACTCCACGACGATCATTAGTCCATGGATATTTCTTAAAATCAATCGGCATTGTGCAGATTAGATACTTTCACTAAAACCCGGTAGACAGACCACCATGCATCTATTTTTACCTGATAAAATTGCCGTTAAAAAGCATGCATTTTTAAATTGTAAATTTGGTAGTAAATTTTGACGCAATAAACATCACTTTTTAGTGTTCGGACGTTTTATTTAAATGGTTCACTACCAATTCACCAAAGCTAATAAGGTCTATTATCCAATTGTGAGGTACGTAAACACTTAATTAGAAATGTTGAATTCAATAAATACTTGTCGGAGATCGTAAGAAATAATCGAAATACCAATAAAATAGAAATAGAAACCCGGAGTGGCGGGTTCTGATGGCGAGCGAGGCAACATAGGGTTAGACTTCTCGGACATATTAAAAGATTGCACATAACACAGTGCTTAAAACAAACAAATAATCTAATCACTTGATTGATTGAGGGAATCCAACGATCCGCGGCCTGCTAGGGAAACTAGGGAAAAAAGTGGGTTCCCATGGGTCTATAATATTCAGAATGACAGAATTATAACTTTTTAGTGTAGATCATAAACAATCTAAACACCCAAAACGAAATATGGGAAAATATCGACCACTTAAAGCTAAGGGCGCTGACATACATATATTTACACTTTTATTAGGCATTCTTAATTGCGCCTTTATTTACATTTTTTATCAAGGTGAAACACAAAATTTTAAGGAAACAAATTGGGTCGATTTACACCTACAAATTTGTAAAAACAATATTGCCAATTCAATCTGCTAAATTTCTTGCAATTTGTTAGTAGGCAATATTTGCATGAAAATTGCACGACGTCTAGAGTCCTTCAACATCTAGTACGATCATTAAAAGATAATCTGTTTTGAACATAAAAAAATCCTGTGTATTTCACTAAATTAAGCCCTTCTATTAGTTTGCTATGCATATAAGGGAAGTGCTTTGCTGGCGCAAGGTTGACGCCAGTCTTTCCTTGTCAGTTAAAATTTATTGTAGCCCAAAACCTTGCAAAAATGAAACACCAAAATTAGTTAAATTAATCATTTAATTTTTGAACGTTGCAATTGATTGGAAGCCGTTTAGAGGTAGTGAAGGGCAGGTCATCAGTAACCTGATTTTGAGTTGATTTCTATCGCAAACGTGCGAATCTGGCCCGGAGTTAAAACGACTTGTAAATTATCCAAATCGTCTTGGAGCAACTGTGCTTCAAACGCCATGTTAACCGATTCGTCAAACTCCCATAATTTCTTGGCGTGTTTTTCATAATCCGATAATCCGCTTTCGTCAACTAACTCCTCTAAGGTTCCATTTAGAGCAAACTGGAGCCTCTCGTTATCTTCAGCCCAATTGTTGGCGCCTATCGTCGTTTCTCTTAGCGAGTAAATGTCAAATGTCGAAAAAACGTCCTACAATCCAAATAATAAGACGGTGATAGGATGGCGTTGGTCACCAATCACCTTCAAGTCAACAGTCACTGTTTGACTGAAGTTGGAGGCGTCGCTCACGTCGAAGATGTGTTCTAGTCGTAACAGAAAAACCATTTCTCTCCATGGCTCCAGAGTGAGAATGCGTACGTTCGAGGGCAGCGACTTACTCAACCCGGAAAACTCCATCAGGTGCTGGTCGATATAATTTTCAAAGCTAAGGTCGTCGGTTGACGAGAGAAATATCCAAGAATCTAAGTGCTTTCTATGGGTTATGTCCTTCTCCAGCTCAGTGATGGCGCCACCTATCTTTCCCGCTACAACGTAATGGGAACCTCTAACTACCAATCTTTTATCGAAAGCAGTTTCGATTAATGCTTCTGCCACTCCTAGACCATCGTCACTGACACAAAGTCTGTGGACCTGTCACAAAACTAGAAAATTGGATGTATATCCTAAAATGGCACCAACAGTCTAAAGGCGTTTTGTTTAGATCAGTGGTTATGTTGAATGAAGATCATTGAAAGATATTTTAAAGACTAGGCGTTTAAATCTACACATTCACTGCTGCAATCAGTTTTTAATCAATATAAATTTTAAAAAGTTTTTCAGTTAAACGTTATGTACATTAATCTTTATTGGTTTGAGTAAATGAATGAAAATTTGGTTATTTTAATGTTTTCTCCTTATGAACCTAATCTCAATAAATATCTCAATGTATTGCAAACGAACGTCTTCAGAACTTTTTGTGCTATTTGGGTGTTTTTTGAAGGCGTATACCATGAGTTCCAATTCCCCATCGCGGACACTAGAGCCACCTTGTGGTCTATCGTTTAGGACTGTTAATTGTGCCTCTTTTTCTGGATCTCTTATGAGAATTTTCGATGTAACGGGATAGTAGTTGGGAGCAACGGAATCGTCGATCGACCATTTGAAAGTGGGTCGAAAATTTTTTATCCTCTTCGACATTTGTTTGCCGTTCGAATCCGTGTAGAAGGTAGAGTTCGTGCTTAAATCGGTCGTAAAGACGCTGACGACTTCGTACCCGCCCGGCTGAAGAGACCTTCGACGAAAAATTTTCTTGTTTCTCTCCATGAAAATAAAATCAATTTGTAACTTACAGCTGATCGAGGGGTCCAACGAGCCATTCAAACTCCACGAAGTTTTCTAGGGAGTAAATTCTGATTACCTGACTGACGTAATCGCTGAAAGTTTGGTGAATTTCCGATACCAGTTCGCCCACGTATGTTTTAAACGCGGTTTTATCAGACACTTTTTGTATTTCCCCTGCCGGCTGAAAAATATAAGCTCCGGAGGAACGCGAGTTGTCGGTATTTGCGGCATACGATCTGCCAGGATACTTGTAGTAATCTTGGGATATCGACAAATTGAAGCCGTCGAAGTTTATCCACGACACGATACCAGCAGATTCATCGAGCGCCACTTCCAAGTGCTGAAATTCGCATTGCGTACCAAACAAAAAAAAAACGGGACTATGTCCTAATATAAAGAAAAAAAAAACTAAAAAAAGTGAAGATGAAAAGGACTTAATTTTTGTTTATTTCATCTACCAAAAGAAAAAAAAGAACGCACACTAATTTACACTAAATTGTGAAATCGAAAAAGATCTGTATCCTGTGCTATGTAAAAAAATAAATAACTTTCCCGCGATTGCGATTCTGATTTTTTTTTACCACGTAAAGTTCTACCTAAAAATATTTTTACAGCCATGACAATAATGTCATATCATTTCAGAATGTAGCCATGAATGTTGCAAGAAAAATCTGCTATTGGTATTCATCTTTTTTGTCAATGAAACGAATTAAGTGTTAAGGAAAAACGAAAAACCCTATTTTGATGTATAGTGAGTATAGAGTATATGAGTTATTAGAAAAGATTCGGAAGAAGTCTCTGTAATTTTTTGTAATCCATTGAGCTTTATCGACTATATATGCGATGTATGTCATTCGGTGGACAACTGCACATTTTTCTTAATTCCATTTGATGCCTAAAATTAAGCGAAAGCTTTAATAAATATTAAAAAAAGATTATTTGTATGTATCCGCTATTGATGCCTGTTGATGATTACTGTAGTGAATATCCTACTGAACAACAGGAATTTTTTGCAGTTCTTTCACCCTTTTGTCACTTTATTCCTAAAAAACGGGTAGTGACATAATTTGTGACCTTGGTATTTTGAACCCAACATTTTTAGTTTGTGCAAGGTCTACTGCTCTATAATCAAATAGTATGTGGTGAAGTACACTTTTATAGTGAATCATTTTTCTTGGGCCAAAACTATAAATTTTTAACGTTATTCCTGACACTTTATAGATTAATAAGCGGATGTTTTTCTCTACCAGATGCGCACGCTTCAAATTGGAGATAAAGTAAAATAAAAAATGTGCCTAATCGCTCTCTTACCTCGTAATCAATAGAATTAGTACGGCCAGCTTGGACGACGTTGCTGCCGTTTGATTTCGAAACGTAATATTTCTTGAAACCCAAAGCAGGGATATCCTCGGCAACGAATATTAATTCCAAAGTCGCGTTGCTGTCTCGTCCGGGAGTCACTAATACCTCGTCCGGAATCGGGTTCAATTGAACAGCAAGACCGTCACCTTTACCGTTTCTTACGGTGTAGTTGGTGCCCGTAACAGGCAATCTAACATATTTCGTAACAGGTCTGCTCAGAGGATTGTAGACCGTCACTACAAAATCATCAAGGCGCTCCGTTGTTGCACATTGACTCACATTGGTCAGGAAACATGTTTCGAAATTCCCTTCATTCGCAACACCAGATAATTTGCTAAAATTTGATTAATAAACGGAAAACTTTATGACTGAGCGTTCTCTCTAGGGGAAGGTTCGACGACAGAGAGATACAATCTAGCGAGAGGCGACAGTAGCCAAGCCAGTTTTCTAAGCGCATGATCGTAGGTCACGGATATAAACGTCAAAAAGCGCGGAGTCGCCCGTTTGTTTATTAGTCCGGGAGCTTATCTCATGTTGTCGAAAGGTGCTTATTAGTGTGGATTCTGATCTTTTTTATTTATTATTAATTTTACGGACAGAGTCCATTTTTACATAAAACTTAGGGGAAATGCACAGTTAAATTACACTCTGATACAAAAGTAAAAGCCTAGGCTACAATCTCACAAGCTAAGAAGGGAAAATAAATAACTAATCTGATTCCTAAAGCTATCCTCAGTAGTGAAAATGTCCAAATGCTCGTTGTCATTGGACAGCCGGGCTGCCCTTGCGGTGAATAAATGGTACCAAAAATGTACTATTTAGGCAGAATGGAGGGACAAAAACAGCTGGAATTAATAAGTTTGAATAGCAACGTCAGGTCGGCTTCTTCACGACGAACTTTACAGGTTTTTAAACCTAATGAGTTTTCAGGGCCACATAATCGATGTTGTTTAAGTCGACACCCAACTTAAAAGCTATAAAACGGTGCTGAACTTGTTGGATTCGACGAATATGATATTGATAATCAGGATTCCATAGAGATAAAGCATATTCCAAGTGAAAATTGAAAATCTAATCCCGACCTCTTTTTAACAAAGCCCATATAAGTCTCTTAAATTATGTTGGACACATGATTGTTTTAGAAGAGTACGCCAAGGTCTTTAATACCGCTTTTAGGTTTCCATCCATCCAAGTATATTCGTATACTTAGGCATTTTGAGAGATTGGGATCCATACCACCCCAGTGACATCATCGATCCAACCGTTCTAAATCCTCCTGTAAACGAACCTGATCATTACGAGTTCCGATAACGAGAAGACCTTTAGCTCGTCGCCAAAAAGAATGTAATAAGAATTATGAAAACATACAGCTATATCATTGATAAATATGAGAAGGAATAGCGGCCCTAAGTGAGAGCCCTGAGGCACCCCTGAAGTAACTGGAAAAGGCTCCGACAAGTATTTTCCAAGTTTAAAAATCTGACGGCGATCCCCCAGAAGTCTACCTGTTATACCTTCGCGACATAGTTTACCAAGCAGCACTGAATAATTCGCCCTACCAAATTTTATTTTATTTTTATGTAATATTGGTGCAATTATGCCAGCAACGTCGTGTGCTTATCGCGGATGTCATGTTCAGGCAAGTATAACTGTATTCTACTTCTTTAAAGATACTAATCGGGAAGGTTCTTGTATTAAATTCATTGCTGCATTCATGCATTCATGCAATCCTTTGCTTAAAAGATGTAAATGACTTTTTATCTACGCCTCGATCTACACTATTATTATTAAAATAGTAACAAAATAAATGAGTTATTATTAAAAAAAGGTAATGGACGTTCCAATATTTGAAAAATAAATATCTCTATAACGGGTATAAACATCAAATGAAACGATCAAGACGAAAGCAAGGTCACATTCAAAGGTGCCGACGTCACGTGTCGTAAGATTGGAGCTCTCTGCTCACTCACAGGCGCAGCGTTACTCACTTTAGCGAAGACGTCGTCACTTGTTGGCACCTATCAATACCTTTCTGAAGGTGCCTTATATAGTCGTTCGCCACATGTTGTTTCTCAGTCCCCGTTATGGCGTCGTGATGTTGTAAAATTCCCATTGCAGACCTGAGTTCGTCGATTTCGTCGTCGTATTCGAAGGAGCTTAACGCACTAAGCTGCTTGCACACTTGCAAGAAGTTGTTGCCTATCCTCTCCAATCTTTTGAACGTTGGACGGGAGGTGTAATAACCGGTCCAGTATGCTTCCGGTCCTGTACCGTAGGGAAAAAAGTCGTCCCGTTTCATTGGGAAACCTAGTTTTCCAACCTCATCTTCGGATATAGACCGCGCGTAACACGATGGGGTTGAGTAAAGAAGATTGTATCGCGAGCCGTTAGATTGCTTGATGTTGGCTTGGCTAAAATCCAAACGCGGAAACCTAAACTTTCCCCCACCATCGCTCGAGTAAAAGAACTCACTAAATCAGCCGGTCGATGTTGGTGAACGACTTTTCCGCGTTCTGGAAAGTGAAATCTGCACCTATAGGTATGAGAATGTGGTCCGTGGGCGATACATCGACGCGCTGTGCGATTTCGTCGAAAAATAACTCCAGCTAACGCAAAAATCCAAATTTGTAAACGTGCGGTAACACTTAGATTATGTATTTCGAAATATAAGTAACGCCTAACCAAAATCACTAAGTTTCCGTAACACACAGAACTATGAAATGAAAACTAAAGTAGAGACGTAAACTATATTGGCTGCTGCTTTCACCTACGTCTATGGAAACCATCGCGGTTTGTTTAAGGTACAAGAAGTTTTTTTGGTATTGTAATTAAAGTCACGTGACTGGATCAACCAATGGGATACCGCGGTCGTCAAAACAGACCGACATGCTCTGAGATTATATAATCAAAGCGTAATGGTCAAGTGTGCTTAACTATAGCAATGAAAATGAAGGACGATTGAATGGCTAAGTCTTATCGAAGACCTTTTTACCTTTTGATCCACGTTATAGTCGTAGCTTTCGGGGTCGTCTATGAATGGGGGATCAGTGCATAGCGAGTCGAAGCAAAACCAATCTGGCGAACCGTAGCGATCGTGGTACAATATATGTGTAAAAATATCGGTTGATTCCCCTAGCAAAAAACAGCCAAAGTTAAGGGAATCGAGAAAGATTTAGCTGGTCGCACCTAAGTCGACGTTTCCTCGCCACACCATATGGTTAGTCTTGGTCGATTCTCTAAGCTGTCGATCCTGAAAATCAGTTCTCGCGAGGATGAAAGCATCGTAACCTATTTGGGCGAACAATGATGCCATTTCTTTGCTGTGGCCGAAAGGGTCGATCTGCCACCCAGCTTTGGGGTGACCGCATTTTCCAAATGTATCGTTCAGTTGCCTGAAAATGATCCATCCACTATCTAGTTATCTGAAATAGCGCACCATACTTAAGTCCCCAGCTAAACTGGTCTATAATTGACTGGTAGTGAGTAGTGGCTTCATCGTTCATGCTCCAAGCCCCTCCAACGAATTCCAGTTGTCCGTCGGTAACGATCTGTTTTACGACGGCTTGGGTGTCCGCGGACTGCTTCGTGTACCATTTCGAAAAGAACGCGGTCTCAACTTGGATGAACCTCCTGTCTGAGTCTTTTCGCAGCGCTTCGGTGACAGTGTCGATGATATATTGCACTCCAGCCACTTGGATGGAGTCTTGGCCTAAAACGAATGCTGATTGAGTGTCGGTGCTCCTCTACGTCTTCAAACTCACTTCCGTAATAATATTGATCCACCGTCTTCAACCAACCGACGTCATCGTGGGAGTGGGGCACCAGGTGTACATTAATAAAGCCCTCTTTTGTTGGATGACATTTCTATGGTCGATTTTTATTTAGTGGGCGGTAGGAAAGTCCAAAAAGACATTTTATATTATTTACATTCGTGTCATTGACAGCTACACATGAACGGCCTATGTACTTATACACAAAACAAAGAATATCATATCTTCGCCAATTTTAATAACGGATACCATACAGATGGTTTAAAATTGATACACCTTAGATGGCTATGACATTTTCATACCTCAATTTCTGGGAAAATGAAGAATTATGGAAATAATCTGAAGACCTCTCTGCGTTTGACTCAAAAACGTGACCTAATAATGATTTGTGTAAACCAAATATTATTAAAAATAAAAAAATGAAAAATGCTTTATATCGCGGCCTGTAGTGCAGATTTTTTCATGCAGTTTGTACTATTCAATAAATCTAAAAAATCAGGTTTGTTGTATTCAGTTCAGAGATTGTTTTTTTCTGTTAAAATACTCCAGTTGTTAACAGTTGGCAGTTGAAAAAACTATTTTAGTTTTATAAAAAAAAATATTTAGAAAAGAAATATTAATTTTATGCGATCTTTACTTTTGACGATTTTTATTATTAAAAGATCATAACTGGAAACTATTGACAGATATTCTTCATTATCCGTCTGCAATAAAGAATACGGAAAAGAGAAATCTAAGTACTCCTATCCACTTGACTCAAAAACGTGCCTTAATAATAATTTGATGAGTATTGAAAATTGTCGTAAATAAAAAAGTTATAGGCAATTTTATAAATATCTTTTGCCAATTTTGAAAAATGGATGGCAGTGGGGAGTTCACCATTAAATATTTCTCACAAAAATACTTTCGAAAAATATCGTTTATAAATTCATATCGATTTGAGGCAAAGAAACTTAGCAGCTTTACTTACATTGTAGCCGCAACGTGCAGTATCATCTTGTAGTGAACCGACCAGACCAGGAACAAGGCAATAAAAAATAAAAACGGGAATATTCATGTCAATTACCAAATTTCTGCTTCTTGAATCGGTAGCGAATAAAGAACTGTGATGAATTGTTTTTCATTTTTTCGAAATTACACCACTCGTATTATTTAAACAGCTTTTGAGATTTTGACAGATAGAATAACGAATCGATCTCCGATAATATTGTTTTCGACTTGGTATGTTCAGCACTAAGACCGGGGATGTTATCGTTATCGAATATCGTTATTTTTTCTGCCCAACGACGGACTTTTCTTATCTAAAGTTAAATAATTCATGGCCGGAAATGTACGACATCCAAAAATAAAACAGTTTCATTTTATCTTTTAACGTTTCTAAAACTATATTTATTAAACCTTCCTAAAAGAATAAACGAAAATTCGTTTATTTTTGTTATATTACAAACCACTTGTTATAAATTTAGTGTTTTTTTATATCAATTATAAAGGTACGAATTTGCATCGGAGCCAAAACCACCTCAAAGTCTTCCGTGTAATCGTCCGCGTATATTACAACTTCCCTTTTCCTCTCCATTTTCCCATACGCCCCCGTCTCGTGCATCAAATTTCGCGTAAACGTCTCGTTATCGTTGAAATTGTAGTATTCACAGGATATTAATTCTTCCATGGTGCCGTTCGTCTTAAACTTCAAACGTTCATTATCTTTTAACCATTCGTTAGCGCCCAGTGTCGTTTCCCAGAGAGACGTTATTTCGAATGCAGTGAAGAGGTCCTAAAAACGAGAGCGGCCATTTCATCGAAAATTTGAAAAATTCGTGCATATTGTACGATCAATTTATCTTTTCATAAATATCACAAAAATATGCGTTTAATCAATTGCCATTTAGTTCTGGTTAGTTTTGGTTGTGATTTGTTTCTAATTCTCAACCTATTCATAACATCTGATTTGGTAATAACTAATAGTATTTGTATAGATTTGATTTCCAGTTTCTTAAATTGAAAAACACTGAATAATGAATACGGTTTCAGATTAATAACGACCTAGTGGTGCTGGGAGAGGTTCTGGGTTTTTTTTTTGTTAATTTTAAAATATGAAACATGAATTTGTTGGACTATTGTTTTCTGTCGGCTAGGAATTTCGCATTTTAATTTCTTTTCCATTTCTCTATAAAGTTAATGACTCACGCCAAGTGTATTTAAAAACTATACCAATTACATTTTTGTTCACTATAAAAAGGTTTTTTTTTTATAAACAAAAAACCAAAAAAAAAAAAACGTTTTAACCTAACGTCAACACAACAAAACAACACGGCTTTGCTAAATCTAAAATTTTGGATTTGAACTACGGCCACCAAAATTACGTAATAATCCATTTATAATCATTAAAGTGATAATCAGGTAAAATTTGAAAACGAGTGTAAAAAGTTGTTAATTCATGGAATACTTTCAGTGTCATTTTACGAAGAATGAAAATAAAAGAGAGTAAGCTAAACATCAACATAAATTATTGAGGTTCGCGCCAGTAAAAGTCAATCGAACTATACCTTCAGTTTGACGGTGACTGGTTTAGACAGTAGTGGATCCTCGCCTATTTCAAACACGTGTTCGAGCCTCAGCAGGAACGTAAATCCTTGCCATGGTTCCAAAGTCAGTATTTGGACGTTATCCGGTAGAGCCTGCTTCAGCCCAGAGTATTGAGTCACATAATTCTGCTTATATTCCTCGTACGTTAGCCCGCTCGGAGACGACAAAAATACCCAACTGTCTAGCAACTTCCGTTGGGCTATATCCTTCTCGATAGCCCTAATAGTTTTTTCTAAAACAACGTCGCCGGTAATACATTTGACATCTATTCCCGCCGAACATACCTACCTGAAGACGAAATATTTCCTACTGTTACATAATGCGATCCCCTGGCCACCAACCCCTTTCCGAAAGCAGTTTCGTTCAAAGCCTCCCCCACCCCAAACGCGTCGTCATGCAAGCAACGACGATGTACCATCAGCTCGATTTGGCCGTCCAACAAACTGCTTCCTCCTTGCGCTCTGTCGGTAAGAACGGCAAACTCCACATTCGTGCTATCATTCCTGATAGCAATTTTCGACGTTACCGGATAATAGTTTCCCGATACCGGTTCTTCCAACGTAACATCCCATGTGGGTCTAAAGTTTCGCTTTCTGCGCAGCATCTCTCTCGCATTAGAGTCGGTGTAGAAGAATTCCTCGGTTGGTATTTGAGTTTGGAACGTCGTTATCACTTCTTTACCGTTGGGTTCGCTTCAATATAACGTGAATGGATAAGCAAGAAAATACTTCTGGTTTACTTACTCCGTGGGTATCGGTCCCACCAGCCAATCAAACTCGACGTATTTGTCCCGGGCGTTGACCCTAATCACTTGACTGATCCATTCGTTGAAAGTTTGATGAATTTCGGATACCAGTTCACCCGTAAAGACCTGATAATCAACAGCGCTCGAGACTTTTTGCGAATAGTTCGTCGTAGGTCTGAAGATGTAAGCACCAGAAGAACGATTCTCGGGTTTTTCGTTGTCTCCCACGTAGCCCTCGTATAGCATAAACGTCTGGTCTACTGGCAAGAGTATGTCGTTTACAAGTATGCCATCGAGAAGGCCCGTACTTTCGTCAAACGTAAACTCTGCAGAGTCCTAAAGCAAAAGGCGTAGAATGTAACCATGAGGGAGCCCATTTTACCTTGAATCCCGTTTGAGATAGTCGTTTTGGTTTTAATTTGTGATCACCGCTAACATTTTGAACGAAATAAGACTTGAAACCTAGAGGCGCGATGTTTTCCGCCATGAAGATGAGTTCCACAACGGCATTGCTTTCTCTTCCCGGAATTTTGAGGATGGGTTCCGCGATAGGCATAATTTGAGTAACGAGATCGTTACCTGAAAGGAAAGAACGGAATAAATATCGACGAGACTCGAGCAAACTCACCATCGGGATCTTTGACTGAGTACGCCTGTCCAGTGACGGGTAGACGCAAGAACTTAGTAACCGGCCTGCTCAGCGGATTGTAAACCGTCACCACGAATGTCGTTTCTGTTTCGGTGAACGCGCACTGACTTACGTTTACCAGTGGGCACGTGGTGAAATTCAGTTTGGGAGTTTCTCTTGCTAGTGACGTTTTAAGTTTACTAAAACGGTTTTGGTAGGTAAAATTTTTTTTAGACTCCGGTTCGTACTTACTTCAAAGCTGCATCTGCGATTATTTCGCAATCGTCGATGCCTCGTTGAAGCCTTCTAGCATAGTCTTCAGCCACGTGTTGCTTCTCCGTTCCGGTGATAGCGTCGTGATGCTGCATCGTCCCCATCGCTTCTCTCATGACGTTCAGGTCGACGCGATCTTCGGGTCCCAGGTCGGTCAGCGCGTAGAGCTGTTTGCACACCTGCAGAAAGTTATTACCTTCCCTTTCGAATTTTTTGATCGTGGGTCTCGACGTGAAGTAGCCGGTCCAGAAAGAATGTCTGTCTGAGGCGTACGGGAAGAAGTCGTCTTGTTTCAGGAGAAAATCTTTCTTCCCGTTGGTTTCGTCGTGTATCGCTTTGACGTAGCACGACGGAGTCGAGTAAAACAGGTTGAACTTAGAGCCGTTCGTTTGCCTGAGATTGGTGTAGCTGAAGTAAATATCTGAGGATAACGAACCACAAATCATTATTATTTCTTTGACTAACTATATAAGCTTGTCCAAATTGGTAAACCATGCCTCGGCGTCTTGGTAGTTGAAGTCTTCCCCCATAGTGATGATGATGTTGTCGGTAGCGTACACACTCGAGACGTTTTTTGCATACTCCAAGAAGTCATCGACCTATTAAGACAACATCACGTAGGTGGTGAATACTTGCCCGTTGAGCGCTCTTACTCTCTGGTCTACGTTATATTCAAAACTTTTTCTGTCGTCGATAATAGGCTCATCGGAACATAAAATATCAAAGCAAAACCCTGGGGGCGGCGAGTACGTGTTGTACATGACGCCGGTAAAAATGTCGCTGGCTTCCCCTAAAAGCATCCCCTACAGGTGGCCATGCCACTTTCTAAATTCTATTCTGGTACCTAAACTATTGCTGCCTCGCCACACCATTTCGGCCGTTTTAGTCTGCATCCGGTATCCCTTCTCATCCGTATCGATTCTGCCAAGGAGCACGCCGTCAAAACCGAGCTGGGCGAATATAGAAGCCATTTCTCTGCTGTGACCGAACGGGTCAATTTGCCAACCTATTTTGGGGTGACCGCATTCACCAAAAGATTCGTTTAGTTTCCTATAGACGGAGATGATGTCAAATGTTGCTTTCAAGATTTTAGGTCCATTGCTTACCTCAAACCCCAAGTCATCTGATCGATGATCGACTGATAATGAGTAGTAGCTTCATCGTTCATACTCCAACCGCCGCCAATAAACTCCAATTGACCGGAGTTGACGAGTTTCCTCACGCGACTCTTTATAATGTCGTGCTGCTTGATCCACCATTTCCAAAAGAAGGCGGTTTCGACGTAGATAAACCTGCAGAAACGAGTACGCGTTTATCGAGGTAGACCAAAAGTGGTGACATGGTCCATGAGAAAAGTGTGGGTAGATCTATTAATTTTTTAAATCGTGATTTGCATATTCCTTTATATTTTTTGTAAACTTTTAACTTTCTTTCTTAAAGAAAAGTACCTGTTTCTCAAAAAATTAAAAATGTTCGTCTAGTTTGTTAAGCGCTCTCTTGAGTTGTGGCAAATAAACTCGTGACTCAAATGCCGTTTACCACATTTATTTCGAAAATCACATTTAAATGGAGTAATTTTCGTTTCTTGTTGTTTTTTTATATAAAAACATTATTAGGATTATTAACAATTTTTGTGACACTTTTCTGTCTGCAGTTTTTGTATATTTTAGTGCACACGTTCTTTTCATAAAAAACGGTTTCCTATCAGTTATCAGTGCGTGCCCAAAGATCTGTAGAAGGTGACCAAATAGAAATGCAAAGTTTTGTATCTCGGAAACTATTCGTCGTAGGCGAACCAGGTGTATCCCTAAAGTGGCTAAAGAAGACTGCGGGATATATTCTCTTATTTCCAAGATGGTCGCCCGGTTTTTTTCCGAAATCTCCATAGTAAATGTACTTAAAAAAAATATGCTTTTTGAGGCCAAGATTTGTTTGATTAATTCATATTTAACACCTTTTAACGTTTGACGTGAAGACTGAAATATAGTGACGCCGCAAGAGTACTTTTCTTGATGCAATCCGTATATTTCATTGCTAGCCTAAAATATTGAAGAAAAAGTTATTATTATTACTAAGGCATTTATACTTCTTTCATTAACATTTTTGAAATCATAAATGTAGGCAAAAAAATTCGCATAATAAGTGATGCATATCAGGTTAGCCTACACGATTGACTAAAATAAAAGTTGGAAAGGAAATTGAAATCTAATCAGGTACGTTTCAAAAATATGTTAAAAATAAAATTTCGAAGCTTCGTAATTACTATACGAATAATCTAAGCTTCCGTATAACTTCAAGAACCTTTGTTCATTACGAATGGCAATTAACATTCGGAAAATATTGATATTTACGTCACACGTTTTGCAACTCACAAACAAAATTGAAGGGTATTTGGAATGGACCGCACTCTTTGGTTAAATTGCTTACTTTCTGTTTTTATCTTTCCTGAGGGAATCGACGACGGTGTCTAGAATGTATTGCACGCCCGCTTTCTGGTAATTCGAGCTACCTAAAATTTGATTTTTTTATAATTATCTATGGTTTACTGAACATAGAAATCGAACGTACTGCCGTAATAATACTGATCGACAGTTTTCAGCCAACCGACGTCGTCGTGAGTGTGAGGCACGATATGAACATTGATGTATCCTTCTTTTGGCGATTGACATGCCTGAAGTACAGAACCAAAAATAGACGATAATGTTTATAGTCGATTTCTGTCATGTCGCCTACCTTATATCCACAATTTTTTATTTTCGGCTTTGGGGTGGTCGTTGTGGCCCTCGTGGCAGTCGAAGATTCACATGATGCGAAAACTAGTGCCACGGTAGACAAGAGTATCCATGACGCGGCCATTTCTGACACCTATCGCGTATTTTTTTTAAATTTTCGACTCCGTAGTAATAATGATATATGTGAATAACCCTTGTATAGTTCTTTCTGAAAAAGGAAAGGAAGGAGGGAGGTGAGGCTGGTCTTTTTCGAGGAATTGAAAAATTAAAATAATCTAGTTGATACCACCATCTTTATAGAATTGCCTTAAATTTTCTAATTTTTGCAATTTATACAAACTGTCCTTATATTATTGACTGCCAGAGTCAACACCACATTTTTTTTATTATTAATTTAATTAATTAATTTGATTAATATTTTGTTTAATACTATAAATATGTATACATTATCGTAATATAAATATAATTGCGTTGATATAAAAATGGATCCTTACAAGGACTTTTCACATTATAGAACAGTTTTCAACGTTAAACACGCCTCCCTCCAAACATCAGTTTATTGTTGATATAGATAAGTGTAGAATTCATGACGAGTAACCAAACATTCTTAAACATAAGGACAAATAATAATAGAATAATTTCTTTCTTAGTCTGTCTGGCTTACGCTGGATACGTTGAACATATATCACAATATTCACTAATTTTATTGTAATTTATACTCTTTATATAAAGCGGCGATTCTTTTTATATAAATTACGAATACATATATTCACATAAAACGTAATGTTGAAATTTGGAAATCGCGAGACTCTAATAAAAAGCTGCTCTACTTTTTCTAGAGCATCAATGTGAATCTTATAACTTGGACACTATATTATGCACGCAGACTCTAGTCAAGATCTAATCATTGAGTTGTATGAAATTGAGCGATTGTGTAGAATCGAGAAAGCAAAACAATTTGTGATAAGTCTCCACATCCTCTTAGCAGATTTCAACATGCAATAAAACGCAAAACTTTACATTTGGAAACACTTAAACTGACTACACCATTTCTGAAAGTTAAGTTGCATTTGGAGGCTGATTGAGTTATCAACACCAGTAATAGAAAATACTATTACTAATACAGGCATGTAAACAGCTGGGCAACTTCATTAAAGAAGATCGAGAAATGTAAAAGAACAAGATTAGACCCTTTGGGTACTTCGAACATATCAGAAAACGCCTCCATTATATGAAACATATTGCTTTGTATCCCAAAATAGCGACCCCGGCACCGGAACCAAGGGACAATTGAAACCTTGATTGAACAGCTTTAAGGACATTGTCCTGTGTTCAACTCTGTAACCATAGATAGCAAGATATTTTATCATTGGGTACAAATGATTATGTGCAAAAGTTTTCTGCTTTGCGTGCCATACTTCACATGTTTGCAGCTGTACACGAAAAGGATGAAGGTCCGGAAACTGGTTCAGAGAAATCTATGTCCAAATTCATATTTTGAAGGTTCTTTTGGGAAAACATTTAAATTCATTCCGATCACAACAGAACAATATATAGCTTATACTTTTTTTATGAATAATACACAATTATTAATAGTATTAAATGATTCTTAAATACCTGTGCATCCAGACAATTAATATTAGGTTCCGCAACATTAATTGATAACAGTGGAACATTAGATTAATTGTTTTGGGGATAGGAGTAAACGTACGGAGTAAACGTACGGTGTATTATTATGCAAACCAAGTTCTTTTCAGTCATTGGCTTACAAAAATTTAAACGTTCATGCGGTATAAAAATTGAATTGATTAAAATTCTATGATTATGGTAAAATTTAGGCACGACATAAAATTTTAAAATTGTTTGTTGCCTTAGGTCTGAGAGAATATTATATCGTATTTGCTGATAAATGTAAATAATCTGAATAGCAATGGACAATCAACTTACGCGAGATTATGGCGAACGCCTGCTTAAACGTTAATAGTGACCGTTTACCACAAGGCACTACTTACACGAGACCCATGCAACTAAAAACCAGACAAGTTGGTCGTCAGATAAATAATAACGCTCTATCATGGGTCATAGACTATCTGGTCGCTGTTATTTATTCGACGATGCGATATAAATCGTTGATTTGTTTACCTATTGTTTCATTTAACATATATCAAAGCTTTTAATAAAATATTGTAATACTCAAATTTGATCACTCATATGCCTTTTTTTAACAGCTTTATTAAATAAAAATAACAAAATGTAAATTTCTAAATTAACAATGTGCTACTTTGACTAGTGTTAAGTTTTACTAATTTTTGTTATGAAGCAGGTTATTATTAGGTTATATTCAGATAGTTTTTGAATTTTAGAACAAAATTGGTTTAAAAATTTACATTTGATTTTTTTAAGTTATTAATTATTCAATACAAATGTTAACATTGTTTAAAATCTAGTATAGTATATAATGTAGGTACATTTAATTCCTCATGAAGGACGTTCATTTTTTCTTGTTCATATTTCAAAAGAATAAATTAATCACGAAGGCGCTTTTTAGTGTCAATTAAAATCGTGACAGTTAAATGTTGGACATGAAACTCGTCATTACTAACATTTTTTTAAATTTATATAATATATAATATCTCTCCATCTCTTTTCCGCAACCGTTTAATAATATATTGGTGCGGATCTAGCAACGAACGAAGGAAATACATTCAATTTAACCGTCGGGGTTAAGGAATAACACAATTTTATCATTCAAATCAAAAGTTTATATAAAATATCGAATCGTCTTGTGTTGTTTACTAATACAAACAATTCAAAACACAAATATTTGCTAAGATGTCGTTTACTGATTAACGAAACGGTTGGATTTAATTGCAGAGCTTATCTCAAATCATGTGAAGATAAGCTTATTGTTTATTTTCGGTAAATATTTGGTTGCATTTCTTTCTGAAGTCGAGGCCGAACACTTAAGGGTTGCTTCATTTGAAGTTCGTGACCCAAGGGAGCGAAACTTTTTTTATCGTTGTGTAAACAAGGGCTAACTTTGTTAACCGCAACAAGCGCGGACACAAACACAATTAAAGAATGTAATTAACTCCAAGAATTCCTTTAAGGTTCTATGTAGAACCCATGCTTACGGTACTGAAACCTGCGTCCTTATTTGAGATCATCAAACGTCGACAAGACGAGTTCAGTGGTGTAGATATTATTGCAGACGGAAGACAAGGTCATTGACCTATTGGCGCAATCAAATTTTACAACACTTTTATTGTAAAAATTGAGAAAGCTGCTTGAAATCAGCTTTATTTTGTAGCACGATGTATTTTTGATGGATTCGCCGATAAAAAGAAGGTGGATGAGATAAGCGACTAGAGTTTACAGTTTAGATTCAGTGGTTTGCAACTTTTTATTAATCGCTCTGACTGGAACAACTGACCGATTAATTGACATGTTTGGGTTGATGGTGTAAAACTTACTGGATGGTTTTGACAGTTGGAAGAAATGTTTCATACGCTGGTAAGCTCCAATACGGTTTGCATGGCGGGGGTAGGCGTTATACTGAAGGCACTAATAATCACAGGCATGCCTCAGCCATACGCAACCAGACTTTAGAGTCATGCACGATCATACGACTTTTGATAATACTGTTGCCAGAATATCAGCTCAAGACCCATAACCACAAGCTACAGACATTAAGCAATATATCAACTCAAAAGTAACAAACACATTTAGCGTTCAATTTCGGAATATCGGAACATGTTTTTAACAGATAGAAATGTCAGATTCAATTGTTGTTGTAATAAATAAGTTAATAAAGAAATCTCTGGAGATCATACGAATCATGTAGAGAGTATGAGATATTCTTGGTTTGCCGTCGTTCCGTACATTTCGGCTATTAGTAATCATCTTCAAGGTAAATAACAAAAACAAAAATAATCAACAATACTGCTGTAGGTTTTTGGTTAGTTTTGGTATGTTTAAATTAGTTTTAATTTGAATTACTATTAGGATTATTTTTACCTTTGTTTTTTGTGAATTGAAGATGACTACTTAGTATAATAATAAAAATAACTGTATGAATTTTATGATTTTCAAAAGAAACGTTATACGGTATTATTTAATGGAAGTATTGTCAATTTTTAATTTGTTATTAAAGAAATAATTCAACGTAGAATGGAACAAAAAAAAATACAGTGTATTTAAAATAGTAGAGAAATAGGATTTTAAACAATTAACATATCAAGAAAATTAAAATTAGGTGTCCGGATTAGGGGAACGGTTCAACGGGGTATTTGTTTATTCAGCAAGGGTGCAAAGGTCTTCCTTATCCGTTAAAAATATTTGGTAAGTTTTGGCTAGCGTCAACACGAAAGTTGAAGACAGCAACCGAACTGAACAGCACTAACGTCAAACGAACTTTAAGAAAATATACAAATACAAACCTCATAGTACGAGAAAACTGCATTGGCATTGAACACCGTATATATTTCTGCCAGTAGATTTTCTATAAAAATGAAGCCGAGTACCCGATTTTTCTTAACATTTTGAAATTTATGTGAAAATTTAAAAATTACAATTTGACACCGACCAGTACGCATTTTAATCTGTCTTATGGTCGCACTGTCCATAATTTATTTATTCAAAATTCAACATTTCATACTGCTTCGAAAGCTAATAAAAAAACTAATAAAAGACGTTTCGTCTCTAGACTCTCAGACTCTAATTTCTCAAAGAAACTTTCACAATCTACTCTGTAATACTGTTCACAAATCTGGATCCCTCTAGTGTCAGTCGTTGATGAATCGAACTTGCTGATGTCTCGCCAATCATCATGTTGGCTTCTTCAGAGCTTAATTGAAACTGCCGCAGTGAAGCTCTGAAGAAGCCAACATGATGATTGGCGAGACATCAGCAAGTTCGATTCATCAACGACTGACACTAGAGGGATCCAGATTTGTGAACATTATTACAGAGTAGATTGTGAAAGTTTCTTTGAAAAATTAGAGTCTGTGACATGTTATTTGACATGACATGACATGTTGATTTGACCACCTTAAGTAACTAGTTTAGAAATTTTTATCGGGTTGATGCATAGTAAGTTAGCACCTTTAGACCGGGAACGAAACGATAGAAAAGGAAGTGTATTTTATAAAAAATCGGTCGAAATATTATATAAAGTTATACACTTCATCTCCGACACGACATCCAAAAATAAAAAAACTTCTTTTTGCTTTTGCTTTTTTAAATTAATATACATTTCTAGAACTACCCTTTCTAAGAGGAAACTTTCTGGTAGAACAAACGAAGATATCTGTGTTAAATGTTTATTACAGTATCTATTTATGTTATAAATTCAATGTTTTTTTATGTCAATTATAAAGGTACGAATTTGCAACGGAGCCAAAACCACCTCAAATTCTTCCGCGTAATCGTTCGCGTTGATCACGACTTCCCTTTTCCTCTCTGTTTTCTTGTACGCCATCGTATTGTGCACCAAATTTCGCGCAAACATCTCATCCCCTTTAAAAGTGTAGTATTCCCCAGATATTAATTCTTCCATGGTGCCGTTCGTCTTAAACTTCAAACGTTCACTATCTTCTAACCATTCGTTAGCGGCCAGTGTTGTTTCCCTGAGAGACGTTATTTCGAATGCAGTGAAGAGGTCCTGAAAACGGCAACGATTGTTTCAACGAGAAGTTGCGCATATATGCGTGGAGTTAAATCAATTGCCTTTTACACGATGTCTGTTTAACTTGAGAATACTACAATAAAGTAAACTGTATTTTTAAGTTGAAGACGTATGCGGTGTTGCCAGAAATCACACGTTAAATATTTTGCATAATAAAAGTCACAATGAAATAAGCTGTTTCTATTTCTTAACTTATTTACAACAGCTGATTTGGTAATTATCAAAGCAGACGTCTCTATTACTTGCTTGAGTCCATGATTGTATATTTGCTTTTCAGTTACTTTATTCAATACTAATGAATGCGATTTGGCAATAATAACGACCTCGTGGTGCTGAGGAAAAGTTCTAGGTTTTAATCTTTTTTTGTAAAAAGAAAAAAATTTAACATCCAATATGATCTAAATTATAAGGAACTCTGCTCGGAACTTCATGTTACTGCATCTTAGAACTATATCAATAACATTTTTCTTTAATATATATATTTTTTAAAATAAAGAAAAAATTACTTAATTATTCACGAATAACCATTAAAGTGAAAATTTTTATGAAGAGAATAAATCAGAATAAGCTAAACATCAATATAAATATTGACGTTCGTGCCTGGATAAGTCGATTGAACTATACCTTCAGTTTGACGGTGACAGGTTTAGACAGCAGTGGATCCTCGCCTATTTCAAACACGTGTTCGAGCCTCAGTAAGAACGTAATTCCTTGCCAAGGTTCCAAAGTCAGTATTTGAACGTTGTCTGGTAGGGCGTGCGTCAGTCCAGAGTACTGAGTGATATAATTCTGCTTATATTCCTCGTACGTTAGCCCGCTCGGCGACGACAAAAATATCCAACTGTCCAGCAACCTCCGTTGGGCTATATCCTTCTCGATGGCGCTAATGGTTTTTTCTAAAACAACGTCGCCGGTAATACATTTGGCATCTATTCCCGCCCGACATACCCACCTGAAGACGAAATATTTCCTACTGTTATATAATGCGATCCCCTGACCACCAACCCCTTTCCGAAAGCAGTTTCGTTCAAAGCCTCCCCCACCCCAAACGCGTCGTCATGCAAGCAACGACGATGAACCATCAGCTCGATTTGGCCGTCCAACAAACTGCTTCCTCCTTGCGCTCTGTCGGTAAGAACGGCAAACTCCACATTCGTGCTATCATTCCTGATAGCAATTTTCGACGTCACTGGATAATAGTTTCCCGATACCGGTTCTTCCAACGTAACATCCCATGTGGGTCTAAAGTTTCGCTTTCTGCGCAGCATCTCTCTCGCATTAGAGTCGGTGTAGAAGAATTCCTCGGTTGCTATTTGAGTTTGGAACGTCGTTATCACTTCTTTACCGTTGGGTTCGCTTCAATATAACGTGAATGGATAAGCAAGAAAATACTTCTGTTTTACTTACTCCGTGGGTATCGGTCCCACCAGCCAATCAAACTCGACGTATTTGTCCCGGGCGTTGACCCTAATCACTTGACTGATCCATTCGGTGAAAGTTTGATGAATTTCGGATACCAGTTCACCCGTAAAGACCTGATAATCGACAGAGGTCGAGACTTTTTTCGAAAAGTTCGTTGTAGGTCTGAAGATGTAAGCACCAGAAGAACGGTTCTCGGGTTTTTCGTTATCTCCCACGTAGCCTTCGTATAGCATAAACGTCTGGTGTACTGGCAAGAATATGTCATTTACCAGTATGCTTTCGAGAAGTCCTGTATTTTCGTCAAACGTAAACTTTGCAGACTCCTAAAGCAAAAGACTTAGGTTATTACCATCACGTCGATCATTTTACCTTGAAGTCCGTTTGAGGTAGTCGTTTAGGTTTTGACTTGCGATAGCTGCTAACTTCTTGAACAAAATAAGATTTGAAACCTAGCGGCGGGATATTTTCAGCCATGAAGATGAGTTCCACAACAGCCTTGCTTTCTCTTCCCGGGATTCTGAGGATGGGCTTGGCGATGGGCACAATTTGAATAACGAGTTCGTTACCTGCAAGTAACGGGACGTAATAAAGATCGATCAGACTAAAGCACACTCACCATCGGGATCTTTGACTATGTACGCCTGTCCAGAGACTGGAAGACGCAAGAACTTAGTAACCGGCCTGCTCAGCGGATTGTAAACTGTTACCACGAATGTTTTTTCTGTTTCTGTGAACGCGCATTGACTTACGTTTACCAGTGGGCACGTGGTGAAATTGACTTTGGGTGTTTCTTTTGCGGGTGATGTTTTGAGTTTACTAAAAAATTTTGATAAGTAATATTTTGATTAGACTTCGGTTTGTACTCACTTCAAAGCTACGTTTGTTATTATTTCGCAATCGTCGATACCTCGTTGGAGCCTCCTAGCGTAATCTTCAGCCACATGTTGCTTCTCCGTTCCGGCAATAGCGTCGTGATGCTGCATCGTTCCCATCGCCTCTCTCATGACGTTCAGGTCGACGCGATCTTCGGGACCCAGGTCGGTCAACGCGTAGAGCTGTTTGCACACCTGCAGAAAGTTATTACCTTCTCTTTCGAACCTTTTGATCGTGGGCCTGGATGAGAAGTAGCCGGTCCAGAAGGTATGTCTGTCTGACGCGTACGGGAAGAAGTCGTCTTGTTTCAGGAGAAAATCTTTCTTCCCATTGGTTTCATCGTGTATCGCTTTGACGTAGCACGACGGCGTCGAGTAAAACAGGTTGAATTTGAAGTAAATACGTTTAGATGACACACCATAATCCATTATTATTGCTTCGATTTACTATATAAGCTTGTCCAAATTGGTAAACCATGCCTCGGCGTCTTGGTAGTTGAAGTCTTCCCCCATAGTGATGATGATGTTGTCGGTAGCGTAGACACTCGAGACGTTTTTGGCATACTCCAAGAAGTCATCCACCTACGAAGGCAATATCACATAGATAGTGCATACTTACGCGCTGAGCGTTCTTACTCTTTGATCTACGTTATATTCAAAACTCTTTCTATCATCTATAATAGGTTCATCAGAGCACAAAATGTCGAAACAAAACCCCGGGGGTGGCGAGTACCTATTGTACATGACGCCCGTGAAGATGTCGCTAGCTTCCCCTAAAAACTTCGCTTGCAGGTCACCTGTTCACTTCATAAATTCGAATCTAGTACCCAAACTATTGCTGCCTCGCCACACCATTTCGGCAGTTTTAGTCTTCATCCGGTACACTTTTTCATCCGCATCGATTCTGCCAAGGAGCACGCCGTCAAAACCGAGTTGAGCGAATATAGAAGCCATTTCCCTGCTGTGACCGAATGGGTCGATTTGCCAACCTAATTTAGGATGACCGCATTGGCCGAAAGTTTCGTTTAATTTCCTGCAGATGCGGACGATGTCAAGTGTTGCTCTAGAGGCTCTAGGCCTGTTGCTCACCTCAGACCCCAAGTCATCTGATCGATGATCGACTGATAATGAGTAGTCGCCTCGTCGTTCATAGACCAACCGCCGCCAATAAACTCCAACTGACCGGAGTTGACGAGTTTCCTTACGCGACTCTTTATTATGTCGTGCTGCTTGATCCACCATTGCCAAAAGAAAGCGGTTTCGGCGTAGATAAACCTGCAGGAATGAGTATCGAGTTCTCGTTTAGAAATGTAGACCAAACTCGATGATATAATTCTTGGCAAAGGTATCGAAACATATCAGTTTGGGGATTTATGTATGAACAAGAAGTAAAAAGGTCGACCAAATTTTTGGACATAAACTCAAACAGTTGATAGGAAACTTTGTTCATGAAAAATAGGCATATCTATCAAAATTACTTTCTTTCAGATACAGAGGGTGTTAAAGTCCTAAAAAAAGTTTTTTTATTATAACTTGAATATTATTTTAGATTTTTTATATCACACTTTTAAGATAAAGAATAAAGATGATTTCGCATTTAGAAGGCTTAATTTTGGTATCTTGTTTTTTTTTGTACAAAAAAGTTATTAGCGAGGATAATTAAAATTTTCTTGAGTCTCTCTAACACTTTACTGTCCCCATTTTTAGCCAAATTCAAAACACACTCTCATTTAATAAGAAAATGGATTCCTATTAACCGGAAAACTTTATCTTCAAAAAAGTGGCTTACCCAGATAAGAATGCAAAGCTTCGGAAACTATTCCTCCTAGAGAATTGCGGAGAATAAAGTGTATTCCGTGAGATATATTTTCAGATTTACAAGATGGCCGTCAGGGGCATAACCATGAACACATGAAATTTTGAAATCGCAGATATATTCTTAGGTAAAAAAATTTTACGATTGTCATTGTCATTTCAAAGGGAGATGGAAATATATTCCGAAGTTAAAGTAAAATTAGTATTTTCGAAAACTGTCTTAAAAATGAAGTTTTAAAGTTTCATAACTACTATATTGATCAAGAACGCTTTTTCAATACGTATCGCAATTCAATTTCGGAAAATTTTTATTAATTAATTTTGATATTTACTAAACTTATTTTCCAACTCACTAAAAAAATTCAAGAGTTGAAGTTTTCATTTTTTTTGTACTTTTTTTAATGGACTTACTTGCGGTTTTTATCTTTCCTGAGGGAATCGACGACATTGTCTAGAATGTATTGCACCCCCGCTTTCTGGTACTTCGAGCTACCTAAAATGTAATATTTTTTATATTTAGCATTTACGGATTAAATTGAATATCGAAATCGAACGTACTGCCGTAAAAATACTGATCGACGGTTTTCAGCCAACCGAAGTCGTCGTGAGTGTGGGGTACGATATGCACATTGATGTATCCTTCTTTTGTCGATTGACATGCCTGAAGTACAAAACAAAAATACATGGTGATGTTTATAATCGATTGCTGTCATGTCGTCTACCTTATATCCGCAATTTTTTATTTTCGGCTTTGGAGTGGTCGTTGTGGACGTCATGGTAGCCGAATATTCACATGTTGCCAAAACTAATGCCACGGTAGACAAGAGCATCCATGACGTGGCCATTTTTGACACCTATCACGCAATTTTGGTTTTTAATTTCCAAGTAGTAATGAAAAATATTTTGGATAACTATTGAATAGTTCTGAAAATTTAAAATAATCATCATGAGAACGAAATAACTGCTCTGATATTAGTGACTAACAGAGTCTTTATTACAATGTTTTTTATTAAGCTCTTAACAGATAAAATGGATCCATACAACGACTTATCGCATTATTCATTAAAAAGTATCAATTAATTATTATTCTTATTATTAATTAATTATTAAATTTTTCGTTCATTAACAATAATAAAGTTAATGTAAAATTCTAATAAATTTATATTACTAAAACGTTATGGTAATAGGATTGGGCAAGATTTAATGATGTAATTTGTAAATGATAAATCGATCATGGATTCATCCAACAACATATGACGCCAATGTGCAAAGTGGTTAATAATAACAGTGGTTACGCCTGCGTATGTCCCCCGCCAGACGCTCCAATGCAGATTCACTAGAATAGTTACTATTAATATCAGATTATAGAACACTCCTAAATGTAAGTATGGCTGTACATATTAACTCCTAAAGGTGCATCCACAGTACTAATAAATGTTAGTTCAGTAAAGTAAGTTATAATGAAATTAAACGGATTTGTTGGACGACTACGTTAACACCAGTTACAGGACAAACAGCAATAGCAATAGCAGTAACAACAGAAACAAAAGTTTCTCTCTTAGCCTGCATATTGCACTGAAAGTACATATCACAAATTAACTTAATCTGGATCACGTTAAATCATTGAGTTAAATTAAATCGTACGAGTTTGCAGATTCATTTCAAATAATAAATCCCCACATTCTCAGAGCAGCATGCCAAAAATCTTAATAAAGAGTGTTGGAATATGGTTACTGAAAACCGAAATAAAACAAGAAATAATGGTGTAAAGGAAATCATAAATTAGAAGTTGCGAACGTAAATGCAATCTGTGAAGCTTGTGGAAGTCGTTTTTTTCAATTTCGACGGGCACGAAACTATTTCTTTAAAAGCAATATCAAACCTGTGGTCTTTCTATCTTTGCCCCACCATTCGAAACGAAGTCTTTTTGGTCATTAACAAAGTTTGTAAAAAAAATCGCCAATAAGATTGGAAACATACTGAAGTGTCAGAACAACTAAGCCATCCACGAAGTTTCCTAAAAAATCAGAGATTCGTCGAAAGAAATTAAGATGTTCTAAGACTGTTAGAATTTATAAGCATCAGGATGAGATAACCAGTCCTAAAAACTATTGACCACTATCTTTACAATGTCAGTTTGGTAAAGTTTTTGAATTTTGTTAAAACTCGCGTTTAAATAACGCTCAAAAAACCAAAATGGCTTTGGTATGAATAAAACAACTAGTACTGCTCGTGATCATGCCATTACCAATATATATAATTCACTGAATAAGAGGGCGTACATCCTCGGGCAATTTTTTGATTTTGGTAGAACATTTCCCATTCGCTCTACCGTCCGCTCTGTAAATAAAGGTACACCTCAAGGCTCTTGTTTATCACCTACACCGTTTAATATGTTTATCAATGATCTACCTCTAAATTTAGAAAGCTTTGGCATCCCAATTATATACGTAGATGACAGAAACATTCTTGAAATTCTAAATAAAAGTGCTGAGTCAAGTACAACATATCTATCTATCTATAGACCAAAAAATTACATGAACCACTCATATACAAAATATAACACCTAAACTAAGCTCATGCTGCTTCTTAATTAAAAATATCAAAAATACTGTTTTTATAGATATTCTTAAATTGGTGTATTTTGGTTTGTTTTAGTCTGTCGCCTCCTACGGACTTGTGCACTGGGGGCAAGCGAACTGTATCGGTGATTATTATACAAAAAAAGCAATCGAATGTATGACGGGTATCAAAAGAACAGTGTCTTGTAGAAAATATTTCAAAGAGTTAGGAATTTTAACATTAACATCATTATATATTTATTCATTACTAGTATACGTAAAAAAAACATAATATGAAACAGAAGAGGAAGGCGTACATAATCACAATACACCGGTAAAAAAATTATTTACACAGCCATTTTAAAACTTTCTGTAGCACAACAGCATCCTACATATGTCGGAATTAAATGTTACAACATAATTGCAAAGATCGACAAGAGCCTACATGATGAAAAAGTTAAATTGCCATTGAGTGAATTATATTACGACGACTCATCTCTGTAGTAGATATAAAACGTTAATTTTGAAGTGTGTTAATTAAATATATTGCATAATTTTTGTGTGCGAATTTGTTTGGTGAAATATTTGTTATGCATATATATGTTGCTTTACATTTTATAGATGCTTAAAATCTATTATAAAATGACGTGCATACAATCTACGTATCATCATTCAAATGCGAAATAAAGAAATAGAAATAGAAAATAGCATTCATCATGCAACAAAACACAAATCTTTACATTTAGAAACAGTTCAACATCTGCTGGAGGCCGAGTGAGTTATCATTAAACAGGTCGTCAGCTAACAACAAATTCAGGCTTGTAAAGAGCTAAGAAAGATCATTAACGAGAATCGACAGAAGTAAAGGCCCAAGGGGCAAACATTTGCAACGAATTTCATCATTGCGATTAAAATTGGAAATAATTATTATTTGCACACGTTTTCTACCTTGTATGTGATATTTTAAATGTTACAGGTTCATAGGGAATTTGCAACTGTATACGAAAATGCTGGCAGTCTTAAAACTGGTTCGGAGGAAACTACGTTCAAATTTATATTTTAAGGGTTCACATATAATTTTATAATGAGGTACTATGTATTTATTTAGTTTTTCTACCACGTCAGTTTCGTTTTCCAGGGATCCGAGTCACTTCGGATATTTCCGCGATTTTACCTCACGGGTTTGGGAGCAATCGGATGTTTTCGGATATATTTCCCACGCCTTGAATTTTGACGTTTGTCAATTCTGACAGTCATGTCAGTGAATCTATTCGTGTTGTTTCGCGGAAATTTATCCAAAATCTAACGGTCGTAGAAAAGGTATAGTATGCAAAACGTTCGGTAAACTTTTTAAGTCACTCGTTTATTAAACACTCGCTCCGCTCGTGTCAAATAAACTCGTGAGTCAAATGCCGTTTATCCCACTTGTTGCATAATATACTATAATGTTGAAAAAGCATTAATAACATTACATTAATGGTTTCGGGAAGCGGAATTAACACTGTGATGCAAACCACGGTTTTTTTTACGCAGAAAAAATTGTCACTTTAGGTCTGATTTGCTTAGTTTATATAATATATAATAAATAATCTGAAAAGCAATGGACAGTCAACTTACGCGAGATTGTGGCGAACACTTGCTTAAGCGTTAATAGTGACCGTTTACCACGAGGCACTACTTAGACGAAACCCGTGCAACTAAAAGCCAGACTAGTCGGTCGTCAGATAAATAATAACGCTCTATCATGGGTCATAGACTATCTGGTCGCAGTTATTTATTCGACGATACGACATAAATCGTTGATTTGTTCATTGGAAATATATCAAAGCTTCTAACAAAATATTGTAACACTCAAATTTACTAACAATTAGTTGCCGAGTTTTTAAAAATATTGTTGAAATCTCGTTTTTATTTGTAGCTCGTATACCGAATAATATAGTTTTCTCTGCTTTCAGGTTTTGATTGCATTCCTGGTTAATTAGCATTTTATAGCGGATATCATCTGTTTACCTATTAGTGGCATGTATTGTCCTATCTTCGCTAGGAGGTAGGTTTTTTCGTAACCTTCCACTCCACTATCCATCGCCGTGGTATCCATGTCAGTGTAATCTTATTACCGCACCATAACAAGGAGAGGCTCAGTTGGCAGTATCTTGGGGATGTCCTTAACACTTTTGTGCCGCTTAATTGTCCAATATATGTTAATTCTTGTCCGCACACATGGCAGTGTGCCAATGGTGCACCGCCCTCCTGAGGGTTCACTTCACAGAGGAGGTCGGAAGCCTTAGAAATTAGGTACGATGGCATCCCCAGAATGCTATGTATGCTTCATCATACATGTCTCCCGTTTCTTCGAAGTTGTTTAAAAAAGTCTCTATATGGACTAATTTTGTGCTGCCACCTACAGTAATCGCCATACAAGGATGCCTCTGCAGCTTAGCAATTTTCACCTGGGCCAGTTATTGAACTACCAGAGCACAGAGTCATACGCGATCATATGCCTCTTCATCATCACGTATAGCCAGATGATCTGCTTGTTTTATCACAAACCCAAAGGCTTGTTTATCTAGGGTAATTCCCAGGTTTATTGTAAGAAAAATAGCTAGGAAAAATATATTTATAAATTGACTTACATGGTACACATAAAAAATGTTTTAACAATAACAATAAACAACAGACATTAACGAAATTACCGTACAAATATACCAACTCTTAAGTAACAAACACATTAAGCGTTCAGTCTCATTTTGTTTAAATATTATTAATACTCATTCGACTGTCAAACTGTAATATTTGCTTGATCGATTGGAACACTTTAATGGAAAAAAACGATATCGGAGAGCTACAGCTCAGGGTCGAAAATTCATTAAAACCCGATCACTTTGGATACGGCGTTGTTTTGGTCACCGCAATTTGCGACAACCGCCGCCAGAACGATGACCAACACAACGATGGCGATTCCCAAAACCGTGACGGCTACCAGGAGAGCTTTCTCGCATCGTGTCCTTCTGCTACAGCAGCAGTACTGTTCCCTCACGATCCTGAAATGAAATAAAATAAAAACCGCCTCAAAACTGAAATCGGCAACGGTTACTCTAAGCTTTGGACGCTTGGCGCTCTAGAAGTAGTGGTACTCCTTTCGCTGTTGGCGGCGCTGCCGGTTCGTTTAAGATTTCCCTCGTAAGCGGTGTTTTCATAAGCGAAGCTAGATTTGCTGGCGTTACTGACTACGGATGGTTTTTTCACTATTTTCACCTCTCTTTTCCGTTCGTTTTCAACGGAGAAGGTGTCGTCGGTCTCATCTTCCGCTATCGCGGCGATTTTCAACGATTTCTTCGGCTTCGGGTTGAAGCCGGAGCTTACGGTGTTCCTTCTTTGGGGCGTTAAAGGAGCGTCACTTCTAGAGTCATTCGGTAGCGATTTGCGTATTCGGTTTTCCAGATTTTTGGTAGGGGATGACATTTTTTGGCCTATCGTCTATCTGAAAATATGAAAAAATACAAAAAAGTTTTAAAAAAACCTCATAGATCATACGAATCGTCCAAGTATAGGATTTTTTTAATTTATTTTTCGTAGGTGTCGACTATAAGCAGTGATTTTTAAGTGATAAATAAACAAAGATAAAAAGATTCAGCAATGCTATTGTTAGACATTTTTGATTAGTTTTGGTTAGTTTAGGTTAATTTTGCACAGCTATTTATTTTTATCTTGGTTATTTGTAACGTGTAAGATGGCTACTTATATCCCAGACGCACGTTGTTTTTAAATAAAAAAATATATAATATAACAATGGTAATAATTATTTGATTGAAAAAACCATGGAAATCCTATAACTTTTTGAGTTTGTATGTATAAGAATAATCAAAAGATCATGTTTTCCAAAAGAAACGTTATACGATATTATTCAATTAAGTTATTGTCAACTATTAATTTGTCATTAAAAAAGTAATTATTTAAATTTAAATTACAGTGTATTTATGATCTGATAATTCAGCAATAAAGCTGGGTCTTCTTGCATCCGTTAAAATATTTTTTTCGATATTCTTTGATTTTCTTATGTATCATCTAGGCATTTTGTAAGCAACAGCAACAGCATCTTGAAGACATTTTCGGTGATAATCAGTTTGTGACACAAACTGATTATCACTCCGGTTGAGAAGGAAGGGTAAAAAAACTATAACTTCACCAAAAAAAGGGGTAAGAGGTTACAAAGAATAATGTTCTTAGAAGCAGTTCAAAATAACCCTACAGCTTCAACATGAAAGTTAAAAACTGCCAGCAGACTGTTGGAAACTAACATTATACGAACTTTGAGAAAATATACGAATACAAGCCTCGTAGTACCAGAAAAGTACATTGCATTGAACACCGTATAAATTTCTGCCAGTAGTTTTTCTGAAAATATGTAACCAATTACAACAAATAAGGACCTTATGGACAGAATCATAATTTAACAATCACCATTACGCATTTTTGTTCTGCTTTCTCTAAAATATGTCAATAGCATATTATGCAACAAGTGCAGTAAACGGCATTTGACTTACGAGTTTATTTGACACGAGCGGAGCAAGTGTTTAATAAACGAGTGAGTTAAAAAGTTTACCGAACGTGTTGCATACTATACTTTTTTTACGACCGTTAGTTTTTGGTTACATTTTCGCAAAACAATACGAATGCATTCACTGACATGACCATCAAATTTGACAAACGTCAAAATTCAAAGCGTGGGAAATATCTCCGAAAACATCCGATTGTTACCAAATCCGTGGGGTAAAATCCCGGAAATGTCCGAAGTGGCTCGGATTCATGGAAAACGAAACTGACGTGGTAAAGTGACGCTTCCCGCACGCTAGATCGGTGGGTAATTAGGTATTTTACAGACGGGGGTAGAAAAAAGTATTTTTCTGCTGACAACTATTAAACTTTGAAGTTAGTTTAAAAAATATTATATTTGTAAGTATGTTACAAGGTGCTTGCACTTTTTGTGGTGATATCCAAACACTCTGTAAGACAGAAAAATTGTATATCGATATTTTTGCATAGAATGCAAATGGTATGGTCACCAAATTATTGAGACAAAGCGTTTTTCAGATATAGCCAAGAAAGTAATTTTTTTTAAATATAACACCCCGTATTTTTTTTTAAATGACGGTGTTGGCCTTTAATCATAGTTATTTCTGCTTAAATAGGACTTCGTCATGGAAACAAAAATCAAAAAATGTATCAATCTTTATTTAATGTTGGGAATATAATATATATAAACAAAATATTTTCGAAATTTTATTTAATGTTATGACAATACCCATGGCCATAATGAATGCTCTAACACGAATCCGCACTTTGTGAAAACTTTGGGTTTAAGTATTTATTATTAAGTTCATCAGAGTAAAAAGTAAATATTAATTTTTCTTTTGTTTAATTTTGCTTCTAGGCACTTTATATCCTATAATTCTATGTCCAACATTAATTTTTCTGATAATACCGCCTATTTAAGAGTTACTTTACGTCGGAAGTGCAAGTGATAGGGTGTCCGAAATATGACACCGGCCCAAAGGTGGCGGCATTCAAAGTTTTACGGAAAACACCGCAAAGTTCTACCTCCCCTGGTTACCGAAAAACTTTTGATAACAGTCAATTTGGGACACAGCGGACATTTCCAGCCCCCAAAATATAATATAATAGAATACTATGCAACAAATGTGATAAATGCATTTTAGTCACGAATGTATGAAGAAGTTTGCTTCTTTTGCTTTTGCTTTTTGGGTACAATTTTGCTAAACGACACGAATAAATTCACTGATTGACGTGGCCGTTAACATTGACAAACGTCAAAATACCACCCTTGGCTAAAACCTATGACTAAAGTGAGGTAAATATCTAAAATATTTACTAGGGAGGAATATAAACGTTTAACTATAAAAAAATATTCTAGTTTCTAATAAAAAAATGTCCAACCCACTTTACTAGCACTAAATAAGTAAAAAAAAAATAAGCGTAAGTATCAGCACTTGGTGTTTCCCGGGTATTTACTTACGCTGCCAGTAGATACGCGGCGTGTGAAATTTTTTCCATAACAAGGCGATTTGCTTTTAAAACACCACAACCTACGGTTCGCGGTATCAAAGCATGAACTGAAAATATAATATTAAATGACGAATAATTTATTTTTGATATCGATCTCCCTATCAATCGATGGTAAGCATGTGATCCCTACGCTCGCAACGTTTTAGTGAAAATTTTAAACTGAAATTATTTTTTCCGTGCGAAAAGTTGCTGCTTTGTATTTTTCCTATGTTAGCATCGATTTGAATTATTACTTACCTTCAAAGGGCATACTGTATGTAATGGGACTCACGCAAAACAAAAATACGTGAAGGCTGCATCACCGTCGATAAGGAATCCTCCCATACCGCGACAGTTCGACGCGTACCGTCAGTGGCGGGCGAACTGCCGCGTCCTTATCGAAAAAAGTATAATGACGACCGGTTCCGGATAAGATAAGGCGAGAGAGACGTGAGGCAGCAATAACACACGAAATTTGTGTAACCACTACGGGAAAATTTCGATGTATTGATCATCTCCTTCAATATTTACAACGTCGCCACTTTACAAATTCGCCCGAGTAATTGGACATATCGATTTCAAATTCTTCAAACTCCGAGCCTTGAACTTTCCCAGGTTTAGGTCGATGGACAATTTGTGCCAGAAAAAATATAGCACATTTTATAACGAGTGCCAAGAGTCCATCAGTCTTATAATTTTGAGTCGCCCAGAAGTATGTTGACCTTAGTGTATAATTAAGGTTTTAGGATATAGGCAAATAGGAAATGGAGCAAACAGAATATTATACAACAAGTTCGATAAACGTCACTTTAGTCACTGACTAAGTTATCAAGATGTTGACATACTTCTTTTACAACCATTAGTTTACATTTTTGCAAAACATTTACTTAGCGACATGTGACGTGCCCGTCAGGTGTGACAAACGTCAAAATACCATCCGTGCCTAACTTCTGTCGAAAGCATTCGCTCGCTCCGAATGCCGTGGCTAAAGTACTGGGAATCTCGGAAGTGGCTTGTGACCGTGCATAACGAAGCTGACTCCCAAAAGTGACACTTTCCGCACGCTTGCATAATTGGTTATTTTATTTATAACTAAATATTTGGTTCGAAAACTTATAAGTGTTATGACGGAATAACATTCTATTGGCCTAAGTAAGTAATGAAATTTTTGAAATATGAAAAACTGAAAAACTAACGGAAACTGGTGTAGAAGGTTAAAGTAAGTTAAAGTTTTATAGTTTCACATCAGCATCCTGTAGTTTAATTAGATTATATCTATCAAACAGGTTTCAAAGAATATTCTCTAATAATACAAATTCCGATCAGATTGCTTTGCTTTCTGGAGTCCCACAAGGCTTCATTTTGGGGCCATTGCTCTTGTTAGTTTATACTGGTGACATTTTGAACTCCGTTCTGTGCCGTAGGGTACAGGTGACAGGCAGCTCTACTGGTATTTTGATACCGATGACTATTTTGAGGCGGTGTCTAATAATGGGTGTTTTTTTTCGATGTATAGAACCTTAAGTTGGTATTACTGTTCAAGATGGCTACCGATTTAACAGCTGTCAAGTGATTTATTCTCAGTTTGGTTTGGCAATTCATCATGAATTCATCGAGTAAGGCGTAGATTCGTCGAATGGGCCCAAAACGAGATTACCGTTGTTCCCGATTTTCATAAGCGAATTTTGTTTAGCGATGAAGCGCACTTCTGGTTGAATAGCTACGTCAACGAACAAAACTGCCGCATTTGGAGCGAAGCTAATCCTCAAGTGTATGTCGAAACACCGTTACATCCAGAAAAACTGACTGTTTGGTGCGCTTTATATGCTGGTGGAATCATTGGTCCGTACTTCTTCAAAAAGGATGATGGCCAGAACGTTACACACAATGGTGATTGGTATAGAGCTATGATTACTAATTCTTTCATTCCTGAATTGAATAACCATGATGTCCAGGATATGTGGTATCAACAAGACGGCGCAACATGTCACAGAGCTCGTGCCACAATCGATTTATTGAAAGACACGTTTAGTTTCACGTTTTGGATCTGTGAATTGGCCACCAAGAACTTGTGATTTAACACCGCTAGACTACTTTCTGTTGGGCTATGTACAGTCATTGGTCTATGCGGATAAGCCATTTGGAAAACAACATTCATCGTGTTGTTGCCGATATACGGCCACAAATGTTGGAAAAAGTCATCGAAAATTGGACGTCCAGATTGGACTACATCCGCGCCAGCCGTGGCGGTCATATGCCAGAAATCATATTTAAAATGTAATGCCACAAGATTATCTTTCGGATAAATAAAATTCATTGCTTTCGGCTTCATTGCTATTGGAAAGTTGTGGTGAAGTGTATTTTGTGATAGAACGTTTAATATCTTTAATGTGGAAATTATTGGAGAGAAGAGCAGAGGTGGGTTCAATGACTCGAACTGAGATGGTTTTGCGGCTCTGCAAGCAAGAGAGTTCATAACCGATGATTTTTGGGCCGGATGATGATGTGACAATGCATTAAGGTTTCGGTCTTTGTGCATAGGTTTTCTGTAAACACAATCACCCAATGTTAGGGCTGATTTTCTATTGATAAGAATATCTAAGAATGGGAGGTTGTTGTTAGTTTTTATTTCAATGGTAAAAGGTATATTAGGGCGTATAGAGTTTAAATGTCTAAGTCTAGGGATTCCTGACCATGAGGCCAAATAACAAAAGTGTCATCGACGTAGCGTTTCCATAATTTTGGTTTCAGATGGAAGGTGTCCAGAGCTTTCTTCTCAAAGGCTTCCATAAATATATTCGCGATGACTGGTGATAGTGGAGAACCCATACGTTCGTTCAAAAATTTTACCGTTATAAGAAAAATATGTTCTAAAGAAGCATTTTTCAAATTAAGGTGAGAAGGTTTGGTTCTAGATTCTTGGATGTTAATAAATCTGAAATGATGGTGAGAGTTCCAGGAATAGAAACATTAGTAAAGAGGGATACTACGTCGAAACTAACCAGAATATCTTGTGCATCAAAGGTAATGATTTTTATTTGTTCAATGAAATAGAAGGAATAAAATACGAAACTGTCAGCTTTCCCTGTGAAGGATTTCAATAAGGAAGCTAGATATTTTGCTAGAGAATATGTTGGAGAAGCAATGGTGCTGACCATAGGTCGACGGAGTAATCCTTATTTGTGAATCTTTGGGAATCCGTGGAGACGAGCCAACAAAAACCGACGCAGGAGGAATCCAGAAGTTTTATAAAAAGTATTACAGTAGCCTGCGGAAGTTTTTTTTGAAAAAAAAACAAAACCTTGTTTTTAGTCAGCAGACTTAACATTAAAGTTAATAACACCAAACTATTTTTTTTAAGGAACATTTAAAATTTATTTTCAAAAAAACCTACTCCTCACTAAGGATGCTTTATATTAACTGGCATATACTAGGCAAAAGTTTGAGAAGAAACTTATGTTAGTCTCTTGTCTTTGTCTAATTTTAATTATTGTGATTTTTGTCTACGGTTTTTGCGTGGATCATGAGAGTTGAACCCGAATACAAAGAGTTCAAAACTCATGTCTCCGTTTTGTCTATGGGATACGAAAATTTGATCATACTTCTCACCTTCATAGCGATATAAATTGGCTGAGAATGGATGCTCGTAGAGATCTACATTTTAGTTGTTTTTTTAATAAAAACTTTTAAATACGCATATAAAAAAATATGTTAAATTCGGTTTAAGCTAATAATAACATTTTCATATTGTAAAACTGTTTATGGTTTTTATAGGATTTTTGATATATAGGTACTGAGGCTAAAAAGCCTAAATTTTAATTGTTATGAATTGCTTCAATGCCTAATGCCTTAAGTTAAATGTCTCGGTTACACATGTCAACGTCCCGTTCAGCAGAGTAGCTTTTAAGCTAGACTGGGCAGCAGTTGTAATAAATTTATTGTAATAAACTCTTGTTGATGAAACATTACACAATAAAAAACATTTATTATTATTATTATTATTATTATTATTATTATGACGTACCATTTGTTGTTTTTGTGACGTATCTGAATGGCCAATAAATTCTATTCTATTCTATTCTATTCTATTATTATTATTATTATTATTATTATTATTATTATTATTATTATTATTATTATTATTATTATTTAATCATGGTATGCTGACAGACCATATAAAGGAAATCTTTGAAGCATTTTAATTATTCCACAGGTCTTCCGGTGTGGTAGGTTGTATGATTTGGATAAACTCTCGTTTCTTTTTGGAAGTATCTAGACTAAAGAAAAATACATTATTATCAAAGGACCACTTTTCTTTTACGTCTTCTCCTTCTTTTTTCCATCGGTGAGCAACGCTTGTAGCCTAGAGCTACTTTCAAAGTCTTCAGATTTAATTTTTATCACTGGAAATTAGTTTTGCTTAGTTTTGGCATTGAAAATATTGTATCGGAAGACGAATATGCAAAAAATTTTAGTATTAGTTAAATCGACACCTTGGTAACTGAAATATACTGAATAGCAACAAATTTTACGTATTTTTGTTAATTTTGTTTATCACCAGTAACTACGGTATACACATTACCGAGATATACCTACCAAAAAAAAATACTGTTTTTAATTTAAAACATGGATCAAATTCACAAACCAGGGAAAAAATATTTTCGGAGAACCGCTTACTTCCTGAAGAAAATCCTAAACTGTGACCTTCAAGTTCTTACTTTTAATCTGTATTTCGTTAATTTGATTGTTTTGTAATATTATTTTGTTAACCGGCAATATTATATTTATTCCTTAGAATTGTATTGTGTATGATGTTTGAGTGCTTCTTGGGTTTAGGTTAGGTGAGACGTTTTACCCAAGCTAATTGGAATTTTGGAATAAATAAAATATATCGATTTACATAAGTAATTATATGAAAGATAAAGATGGCGAGAAACACAATATATCATAATTTGTCTAACCAATCAACAAACTAACCAACATTGTAATGTAATTATAGCCATGTTGTCTAATCATCCAATATGGTAAAACATGCACACACGGAGAAAGAATCATAAAAATTATCAGTGTAATTAGAAATAAATTATTTTTATTATATATATATATATATATATATATATATATATATATATATATATATATATATATATATATATATATATATATATATATATATATATATATATATATATATATATATATATATATATATATATATATATATATATATATATATATATATATAACATTATCAGTGGTTCTTAGGATTTTGCGACCACGACATGTGAAATCCGCCATCAAAACAAAATCGAAAATTGATCTCTTAATCTATCAATTCTTATCTAAGATTTTTTCAATTTATTTTAAAGTAGCACGTTATTTGCCATCAAAACAACGTTAAAAATAACCCGGTTATAAATTTAGTACTACAACGAAAAGAATAAAAAGACAAAAACGCAGTGAGGTTCGGTGTTAAGGAAACAGCCAATCTAAGAAATTTTAAACATAATAATTAAGTGAATCGGCCAAGACAAAATGCATAATTAGAGTGACTATGGTTTTGAAGTTAAAACTAATTAAAATCTTAATTTTTCAAAGAAACTTCCACAGGCTACTGCAATACTTTTTATAAAACTTCTGGATTCGTCCTGCGTCGGTTTTTGCTGAGTCGCGCTTGCTGAAACTGTTTCAGTCAGTCAAGCCAACACGATGATTGGCGAAACGTCAGCAACTTCGACTCAGCAAAAAAAAAATCCAGAAGTTTTGTAAAAAGAATTAAAATCTTTTCTGTTTAATACTTTTTATTCTATATCTAAAAGGAAAAGAAAGGACAATATCGTTCATATCCTCAACCAACAAATTTGATATAATTTCCGACATAAACGGCAAAAAACAGCCCAACAACCCAGCCAAAATCGCATCTGAAATTCTTTATCCCAACCTAAAATACGAATAAAAGAACTTAAAACCAAAAACAAATTGAATTTTGTAAAGCACTTCCACTTAACGGTTGTTATTAAAGTCAAATTATTTCGAATTTACTACACAAAACGCGAATTCGTTACTGATTATGGCAATTTTTATTTAAAATCGAAATATTGTTATTTATCTTTATTACTTTTTTTTACTAATTCGAAACACATTCGAAATTACCTAGCGGCTGACATTACTACGTTTTGCTATCCTTGCCCGGTGTCAATTAATTTAATCTTAAAAATTTGCTTTAATCAACAAGCCAAATCTAATCAATCGTTAAAAAGTAAGTAAATTTTTAATTATGTAATTGTTTAAGTAAGGAGTAAAAGATTAAGATAAACTAGTCAGGATGAAATTGAGACATTTTCAATGCAATAGACACAATTACACAATGACAGCAGGACAATTAAAATGTTACTTGAATTTAAATGGTTTAAAATGGAAGGCAGACTTTGAAAAGCATAATAAAGTGCATAGTGTTTTGTCAAATAAAAACAAAAATTGTTACTTCTCTTTTATTTATATCTTAAATAGTTTTCAACATTATATTACTAAATTACGTCAGTCAATTGATTTGTGAGCGAATTAGTGATTAAACCAACTTAATTATGGAAAAATGTGGTATTACCAAATAATTGAAAAAATGTTAGCACGGGGTAATTTACTGCCCTTCGAAGGTATCAAAACATTTTATTTCAATTTTACAGTATCATTTGGCATCCTAAATAATAAATTATGATATACGCGGAATGACCAGGATCCCTTTACAATGATCTTCATACTAAGATATCAAATGGACATCCCCAGATAAGCAATCTGTGTCGTTTTTTCTGTTATCTCTCAAGTGGTCTAATTAGGGACAAATTTTATTTATTTCGTGATCTTATTTATTAAACGGCGGTATAAAAATATGCTGTAATTCCTGAGGAAACAATAGGCATCGCCCCTAAAAAATTGCCCTTGCACTTTGCAATAAGCTCGATATACATTTCTGGCGTGTGATGCAAAAAAACTGAGCAAGCGTAGAACAGAGCTGTGAAAAGTTTGAAGTAAATATGGATGTCGCAGCCGTATGTCGTTACACAGTCTGGTAGACTCTGCGCAGTGAGTGGCGGATACTCATTTCCTCGTTCCTATTGGTCTCGAACTCGATATTGATTCCCGTAAAAGTCTTACAAAATTTAGGGCCTTCGCGTAAGTGCCATCGCAAAATTTCCATTACTTTATTAAAGCCTTGCCTAAAAATCAAATATTTTTGTATTCCAGTAACAAGAAGGAATAATCCAAATGTCCAAAATTAACTTAAAGAAAATAGGAGTCGACCATCATACGTTTCCAACGAAGAGGTTGGAAAATCTTCCTGTCGCTTTTCATGAGACTGACTGTCACGGCGTGTAGGCTCTGTCGCCTTCTCCGTAGGGCGGGAAATTCATTAAGTAAATCTCCGTGTTTTGCACCCTTGCAGCTTCAGAGTTGTCACGACTTGCGAGGCGTGTGCACCAACCAGTACAGTAAAATCAAAATTAGTTATTTGTGTAGCGTTTTTTAAATACGATATGTGGATATATTTCTATAAAATTGTGGTAAGCTTCGACTTTAAAAAATGCGGCACGTTTAAAAAAATGCGCCGGATTTTCTGTTTTGAAAAGACAAGTCTTTGTCTATTGTGCGATTCTGGGCCACTCTTAGCTTTGGTTAGAGCAGGGTATTTGGATACACGTACACATTTTGGTAGCATTTTTTATCATTGCGGGCTATATCAATTTCACGAAACACATGGTTACATATTATTTTCCAAAATTGACGTTTTAAAGAATAATATCAGACATTTTAGTATGTATATTGTATTATACTTGGTGTTTCAGAAGGCGTTTCAATAGCAATCTCTTGACATAATTGACAAATAACTTGGGTTGGGTTAATGAATATATGCTCGGAAAAGCCTCCTCTATAAAATACGGAACCCTGTGTCAAAATGTTCACCAAAAAAATCGTCTCTTATATTTTTGCCCTTGTTTTCAATGGAATATTTTTTTGGACAAAACTGATAAACTTCAGACACTCGTCCGTTAATCACACGCTCCGCTGTGCTCCGCCTGTGCCAAATCTAAACTAATTAGTAATTTCCATGCACGAGAACGAACTGAAGTTTTGCCATCAGTTATGGCCTATTCCAAGGTATTCCGAATATAATAGGAATGACTATTATTTTCAACTCGGCGAAGTGGAGCATGGCTGTTTTCTTAACTGAGCATGTTTTCCACACTTATAACAAAGTTATTTTAACTCTAATCAACAAATATGTCTTATATAACGTTACAGTCTATATTATTTATTTATGAGATAATTTTTAAACTTAGATTCAAATAAGAAATAGGATTGTAGAACGAAGCGAAAGATCGCTCAAAAAGAGCCAATTGTTGGGCTAAATTTCAATTAGGTAAATGATTTAAGAGTAACATATCTTTGTAGTTTTCTGAATCTGAATGTGAAAAAACTAACGAAAGAAATAGAATAAAAACAGCAGAGTCCAGTTCGTAGCAGCTAACCCACAAGGCATTAGTTTGGTGTCCACAAACCTCCATTTCAGATGTAACCTGAGTTCACCAATGGCTCAGTTCGTGACGCATATACAACCGACGTTGGTCGAGGCCGCGCATCACCACCTACCCCACCACCACAAAGAACACCACGAGAAACACCACAAGGATGTCGCCGAGCACCAAAACGGCAAGGAGCACCACGGCAAAGAAAAACACGGGAAACATGTTCCCAAAACGAAAGAAATTGCAGGGTATGCGAGGGATTATCCGGTCCTTCCTCATACCCCCGTCAGCCACCACCATCACGCGGAACATGAGTGCCACGCGGGGGTTGCAACCGGACATGACCGCAAACGAGATTCCCGGCAATATCTGGATTCCCACGGGATGTCGCATTCCTACCAGATGCATTTTATAGACTCCCAGGGGATTTACAGGTATGATAAACGCTCACTGAATACATCACGACCTGAAAATGAAAATTGGATTACTCATTGTACTTGAATACACCTTGTTTCTCAACTTAAATATCCCAAAAGTCGAATGGAACTGGAACTTTTATAAAAGTTGGCACGGAAACTCTTGGACACTTTTTTTTGGCATGCCGTGATAAATAAAATTTCAAACAAACCATATTTTTTGAATTTTTATCATTTCTTTGTTTATTTATTTTAATTTAAATTTAAATTCTTTAGTTATTTTTTCAATGTCCTTTCATACTACTTCCGAAATAAAAAATACAGCAAAAAGTTGTTTTTTGGAAAGAATAAAATTATAATAAACTTTAAAAACACTCTGTAACTTTTGCCGATATTAAAATATTGTCTTATATATATATATATATATATATATATATATATATATATATATATATATATATATATATATATATATATATATATATATATATATATATATATATATATATATATATATATATATATATATATATATATATATATATATATATATATATATATATATATATATATATATATATATATATATATATATATATATATATATATATATATGTATATATATATATATATACAGGGTTTTTCACTTAAAACTCCGCACGCCAATAAGTCCAAAACGAAAAGAAATATTTAATTTATGTAAAAGTAGTCAAAGTAGTCAAAGTGTGGGGTCAAGTAGATATTTCCTAAAGTTTAAAAAATTCGACGCCTGCAAAGAGCTGGGCGTCGCGACGCGTCGAAAAATTATTCGATTGCAGAGACTTTGGAAATACGCGCATACAAAAGTACATATTATTTAAAAACTTTTTTGTTATTTACTCAAACTTATTTACTTTACCCGTTTCTAAGTTATACCGATTTAAAGTAAACATTTCTTGATTAATAAAACATGTGATTAACGCTTATTTTTACAAGTATGGCATGAATGTTAGTTACTATGGCAACCATTGTTATCGCAGTTGTTTTAAGTGCAATTACAAACGTAAGTTGTTATTGCTGTATCAAAAAATTGTCACATTTTGTCACAAGAAATATCCAAATTTGTTCGGTTTTAAAAAAACTAAGAATTATTATGTGAAAATGGTGCAATTTAGCAATGAGGAAAAAGTAGACATGTTACTGGTGTTTGGACAATGCAGATGCAATTGTAGAGAAGCAAAAAGAGTTTACGCACGGCGTTATCTGCATAGAAGAGTCCCCGATGCAAAAACCTTTTCAAGTTTATGTAAAAATTTAAGAGAATATGGCAGTTTCATAAAACCTAAAAGAGATAGGAACAGGACGGCTACAAATGATGAAAATACTGCTGCTGTAATTCAGCAGGTTGATAATAATCCCAAGATATCCCTATCAGAGATAAAAGAAAATACCGGTGTTACCATAAGTTCTTCGTGGAGAATTCTACATAGAAACTCTTTTCAACCGTACAAAAGTAAACTAGTTCATAAACTAGAACCAGGCGATTATGCTAGAAGAATGTATTTCTTAGCGACATTATTGTCCGATTTGTATAGCCAAGATGCAAATTTTCTCTCGAAAATTTTATGGAGCGACGAAAGTCGATTTCAAAATAATGGAATCGTTAATAGACACAACTGTCGTTTTTGGTCCGAAAACCATCCTCGTTGGATTACAGAAAGAGGTAACCAACGAATTTTTAGTATCAATGTTTGGTGCGGCATATTAAATGGATTCCTTATTGGACCTTACTTTTACGAAGGAACTTTAAATGCAGATCGCTATTTAAGATTTCTTCAAACTACACTTCCGGAACTATTAGAAGAAGTGCCTCTTGACACTAGAATGAATATGTGGCTACAGCAGGATGGAGCGCCTGCACATAATGCCCAAATAGTAACGAGGGATTTGAATCGAGAATATCCCAATAGATGGTTTGGTACTAATGGACCGGTAAGGTGGCCGGCGAGGTCCCCGGACATTACACCACCAGATTATTTTCTTTGGGGCTACCTAAAAAACGTTATCTATGAAGAACCTATCGAAGATATGGCTGATCTCATTAACAAAATTAGTGCAGCGTGTGCCGCTATCACAAGAAGGACTGTCCTACAAGTGACCCAAGCTCATCTGTTAAAAGTTTTTGATAGTTGTGTTCGAGCAGATGGACATAATTTTGAAAAAAATTTTTGAAATGTCTTATTATGTAGTTAATTGCAATAATAATTTTGGTTATTAACTTGTAGGTATTTTACTGTTTTTTCATTTATTTATCATGTTATCAGAACTAAATCGATAAAAATAATAAATAAAATCATACTAAAATAGTTGAAATCTATTGTTTGTAATTGCACTTAAGACAACTGCGATAACAATGGTTGCCATAGTAACTCACATTCATGGCATACTTGTAAAAATAAGCGTTAATCACATTTTTTATTAATCAAGAAATGTTTACTTTAAATCGGTATAACTTAGAAACGGGTAAAGTAAATAAGTTTGAGTAAATAACAAAAAAGTTTTTAAATAATATGTACTTTTGTATGCGCGTATTTCCAAAGTCTCTGCAATCGAATAATTTTTCGACGCGTCGCGACGCCCAGCTCTTTGCAGGCGTCGAATTTTTTAAACTTTAGGAAATATCTACTTGACCCCACACTTTGACTACTTTTTACATAAATTAAATATTTCTTTTCGTTTTGGACTTATTGGCGTGCGGAGTTTTAAGTGAAAAACCCTGTATATATATATATATATATATATATATATATATATATATATATATATATATATATAATATTATTATTTTGTTAATTTGTTGAGGCTTTGCTTATGTGACCTTCAATGGTTGCTTTCAATATACAGGGGTGACAGTTAACTTTCTAGAAAGCAGATTTAATTAATGCTTCAGGTGTATTTTGTGTAATTCTTAATATATTTTTGGAACTTAATGCATATCGCCCTCTTAACTAAAAACAATTTATGTTTGATTCAATAAAAGATCTCATGTTATAAATAAAAACATAAGTTAGAATTAATCTAATTAAAGTTAATAAATATGCATTTAAAAAAGTTTTATTTTTGTAACATCCTCTAATTTTACTCTCTACTTTTCTGGAGTAGGTCGTAAAAGCAGCTTTTAGAACAACATTTTGATTTTATAAAAAAAAGATTTAGCGACTTATAACGATAAGAAATTTATAGAGCTTGAACATGTTCGTTTTTTAAATAAAAGAAAAAAGCATCACATTAGGGACTATCATGGGCACGGCGTGGACGAACTGCACGACTCGGACCACCACCATTCCGACAAAGAGAAACGCCACAAAGAGAAGAAGGAGTACGAGGAAGAAAAATCTCCGTCGAAGGACGACGGGCGACCCACTCCTCCTCAGTTTATCAACATCCAGTCCGTGCACCACTTGGAAAACAAACAACAAGTAAGTACCATTACCACCCCCTGCGAACGATTTCTATCCGTGCGTTTTGGCGGCGGCCCCGTGTTCTAGCCTCGTCGGCGCCAGTCTAATGTCTGGCACGGCTGTTTATCCAGTCGGAACCGTCGGGACGGATCCTATTTATCCTGGATAATGAACCGGAGCCGGAGAATGTCCGGAAATTTTTAAAGGGGCGAATGCCTGATCGATTTGCTACTAGCGATGCGTTTGGTTTCTTCCAGCTCCTAAGGGGATCGCTATGCAAACTGTCCCAAAAGTTGGGGCTAATAATTTAATATTGCCATATAATACTTTTCGATTTTGTTGTCATGTTGACTACAAAATTTGCAAATCTGCGGTTGTTTTACAATAGAGCGTAGAGTTTAATAAATGCAAAAATGTCATTAATTTTTGGAAGTGTCCTTAACAGCTTGTATAAATTTTAAATGAAAATTGATAGAACATAATTTATAACAACTTTTATCTTAATCTTTAGGTGATTAATCCTGTATTTTAAATAGTAAAAGCGACGTCTACAAAGCCGACAATACCGACAATTTCAGAAAGCAACTGCCGCTACCGTCCGACAGATGGCAGAAACTTAGTCCTAAAAAAAATCGATCAATAAACCGGGCGCCGAGGTGGCTGCCAACACTAGTAAAAGCCGATTTATTACTTGCCGGAGGTATTTGCAATTCCTCTTACAGGCAAAAACGCTCATCGAACTGGGTCAGTCGATCCAGGAAATTTTATACGTTCGCTGCGTGTGAAATGACAACATATTTGCGATTTAACTCTCCATTAGTCTGGCTACATCTCCATACATAGCCTCAAGAAAAAATACTGGCGCGCAAGTTTCGTATTTTTTGAAGATGGCTTTCACTGCTATGGTTCAAATATGAACAGCAAAATTATTGAACGGGATGATGGCCACAAGGACTAAGTAACAGTAATACAATAACTACAAACAAATGCTGCCAAAATGTGGGAAACAATTAATATAACTAATTAAAACTAAAAAGTCTGGATATGGGTGTCAAAATGTGGTCGCGCACCATGTACAGCATGGAATGATTGTCGATGTTTTACGCCATTTTACTAATATCGTTATTATTTATTACGATATAAATACACACAGTACATATTAACATTTTTAATCTGCCTTTATGAGTAATTTTGTATGTTTATTGCCTATCTGAAACAGTGGCTAATTTATAGTTTATAGGTCCCTCCCTTTATTACTATTAGTCCTGATTAGATATTAGATTATTAGATATTTCTTTCTTTAACTTTTTTTTGTGGCCACGCTGTACATATATTAAAAAATAGAAAATAAAGTCTAGAAGCGTGTCCAAAAATTTAAAAATGTGTTTCTGCTTATGGAATATCACAAATTTTGAAACAGCATTACTTTTCAGAAGTCATACATGGCGATTTATGGGTATTTAATATAAAATAGGCTTCTAAGCTTAAGCAGTGCGGGGCTTTCGATGGATTTTAAAAAGTCCTCGCCATTGGTTTAAAAATTAAAAAATCTTCTACATTATTTTTTAAAATTGTATTTGAATTTTTTAAAATATTTGCCCTTACCTGGCAAAATTGAAATTTTGAACAAAAAAATAAAAAGGTAAGATTATCGTTTAAAAAATATCTAAACATTTGAGTGTTTTTTTTCAGGCATTCTTTTTTTTAGTGGTCACACTGTACATATTAAAAAATAGAAAATAAAGTAGAGGAGAGTGTCCAAAAATTTAAAAATATATTTTTTGCTTATAGAGTATCATAAATTTTGAAATTGCATATGGCAGGCCCTTTACTCTTCAGAAGTCATACGCACATGGTGATATAAACGTATTTAACATAAAATAGATTCTTCTAAGCTTAAGCGGCCCGGCGCTCCAAATGGGAGGTTTCAAAAAGTCCACGCCCTGGTTTCGAAAATTAAAAAATCTTCTACCTCATTTTGTTAAAATATATTTGTATTAAATAAATCAATTTAATTTTTTTTAACATTTGCCTTTACCTATTAAAATAGAAATTTTGAAAAAAAAATGAAAAAGTTACATTATTGTTTAAAAAACATTTAAAAATTTGATTGGAGCAGGTTGTTTCTTTTTCGGGCAAAGTTTTTTTAATGGTCATACTGTATATATTAAAAAATAGAAAATAAAATAGAGAAGCGTGTCCAAATATTGGAAAATGTATTTTTTGCTTATAGAGTATCATAAATTTTGAAATTACATTGGACGGGCCCATTTACTTTTCAGAAGTCACACGCACATGGCGATATATCCGAATTTAACATAGAATTTTGAGGTTTCAAAAGTTCCACGCCATGGGTTCAAAAATTAAAAAATCTTGAACATAATTTTTTTTTATTATATTACATTTGCATTAAATAAATCAATATATTGCTTTTAAATTTGCCTTTACCTGTCAAAATTGAAACTTTTGAAAAAAAGTTGAAAAGTTAGATTATTGTTCAAAATATATCTACAAATTTGATTGGAACAGCTTGTTTCTTTTTCGGGCAAACTTTTTTTTAGTGGTCACACTGTATAAATTAAAAATAGAAAATAAAGTAGAGAAGCATGTTCAAAAATTTAAAAATGTATTTTGCTCAAAGTTTAGGGCATTGGGGCTTAATTTTAAACCTTTGAGGCATATATAGGTTTATTTCAACTTTTATTGTTAAAATGAGCGCTACGACGGAATAAATAATAGTTAATACGCTTCTAATTGCAATCTGTCCTTGAACTTGAGCATGCGGTGTTTCTCGCCTTTAACTAAACCGTTATTTTGGCGTCTTTGTCGCTAGAGGGGCTCCTTCAAAGCGGTCAACCTCCAAACATTTTTTAAGTAGTTCGATCGATTATTTGCGAATTTTCTCCAACGTCGGGGGCGGAGTTTGGCATCAGGCGTATCCAATAAGCACCCCGAACTTGTGCGAAGTCGGTTGCCAAAAAACAACACTCTTCCACGTCGCATTGCCGGCGAATTTTTCCAGACTGCCGGATCAATTGGTTGCCCGAAGTTAACGCGAAAGAAGGCACATTTTAATATTTCGTGTTGCGGGCTGCCGAAATATGGTTCCCAGGTGACGCAGATATGAGTACCACCGACAGCAACAAGAGCCCCGGCTCCAACCTGGCAAGTCAATAGATATATTTTTAGGAACGTTACGTATGTCGTGGTTAGGACCGGCGAATTGAACCGGAACCACATTCGGTTTGTTTATTCGCGTTATGCCCATTGCACACGTATGGACGTTTTACACCCATAATGTGACATCATCATCCTCTTAGGCTTCTTCGTCCTTGAACCATTTTGCTTCAAAAATTCATGAATTAATTATTGAAGAAAACCTGCTGACGCAATAAATTTGATGACATTGATACGAGAGCACTGGTGCGGGAGTGAATTAATTAAAATATTTATCCTAATTAAAATTTATATTTGCAAGTAATAGAAGGTTCGTTCCAACCTTAATTCAGAATCAACTTATATGTTAAGAATGCCTTTATGGAATGGTTGGAACAGCTGACCGATAAGTTAGCATGTTTGGTGTAAAAGTTGGTGGATGGTTTTTATAAATGCAGAAAATGTTTCGTGCGTTAGTCAGTTATCAACCGTCTATGATCTTTATTCGAATTTCCTCTTGGCGACGTTTGTGATTTATAATTTTTGTGTCGAGTTTTGTATATTTATTAATGTTAATTTGAAATTTTTTGAGTTTGAAATATATTGGCATCGACGTAATTAGATGGAACTGTGATTTTTTTAACTTTTATCGCAAGTTTCCAATAACATCGACGGAACGTTATTTTCATTATAGTCCTGCTCACTCATACTTTTGTAGATGTTGATCAAACAGTGCAAATAAATTTGAACCATAGTAAATCTGAAATCTCGTAAATAATTAATTGACAACCAAAACTAAACAAAGCTTGCAAAAAAACATTAGTATTGTAGGTACAGGAATCCTTAATAATACCTAATCCTGTATATCCGAATAATGAAGTCTAGCGTAGCAATCGATTTCGATAATTGAACTTTTTTTGATGAAAATACATTTATCACAATAAATAAGCACTAAAAGTTCAGATTTTCACGAAATTATATATTTTCACATGACAATTGTTTCGGCAACACCGTGTCTTTATCAAATGTAATATTTACAAACTACATGCTACTGTATATACCGAAAAATGACAATAAAACCTTAATTAATGTTGTGAGAATTTAAGTTCAATAAAGGAGAGGTATTTAAATCTAATTGATCGTTAATCGATCGACATTTGAATGTCTCATTTTGTTTATCTCCATCGCTTCCATTAAATTTAATTTTCTACTTTTTGTGGCTGTATGTAAAATATCAAAATTGTAGTTGTATGTAGTTGTAGTGTGTTTAAGTGTATAGCATAATTAGAATCGAGACTATTGTTTTTGTTTTTATTAATTATGAATCCACAACCGCCGAAATTATATTCTTTAGTTAAATTACATAAACAAGATATGCCCATTAGACCAGTCGTGTCTTATTTAACAGCTCCAGCAGTTAAACTCTCAACAAAATTAGTAAATATTTTAATGTTCCACACAGATTTTAAACCAAAATTTGCAATAAAAAATTCTTTTGAATTAATCAACAAAATTAAAAATATCAAAATCCTTTCTAACGCAACGCTATTGTCATTTGATGTACAAAACTTATTTCCCAGTATTCCACCTATGGGTCTGATAGATTTAATAGATTTCACCCTAACTCGGAAACAGGTTAACCCATTGGTGAAACAAGATTTATTAGATTGCTTAATAGTCTTAGACCAAAATTATTTTGTATTTAATGGACAGATTTACATCTCTAAAGAAGGTTTGATTATGGGAAACCCACTTAGTCTTTTGTTAGCCGAGATTTTTATGCAAAATTTGGAAAATATCATACTAGAATATCCTTTAAGTAAAAGTTTTCTATGGTGGTATAGATAAGCGGATGATGACTT